AACTAAAAATAGAGTTGCCATATGATCCAGCAATCCCACTTTTAGGCCTANGATCCATTTGCAGAACCCTCCTACACTGTTGGTGGGAATGTAAATTGGTGTAATCATTATGGAGAACAGTATGTACAGTGTGGAGTTTCCTTCAAAAACTAAAAATAGAGTTGCCATATGATCCAGCAATCCCACTTTTAGGCCTATATTATATTTTTGTTTCAAGGCAAAAAGCATTCTTAAAGATAAAGATCAGTTCATAGTGATGAAAGATTTGACTAGTAATTTATAACAAGTATGAATGTGTATGAAAGAACCACAAGAAGAAAAATTCACAAACTAGATTTTAACGTGCCTTTTTCAATATTTGATAAAATTAATGAGGCAGAGAGAAATCATCAAGGATACAGAAATTTGAACAAAACAATTAAAGTTAAGTTAATGAACTTGTGTGAGACATTTGCATCCAACAACTGCAGAATTCACATTCTTTACAAGCTCACGTGGAACATTTACAGAAAGTCCATATGCTGGGCCACAAAACAATTCTCAGTGAATTTTGTGACTGAGTCATTCAAAAATCTATTCTGATCAGACTTTTAAAAATCTATAACAATTAGTTAAGAGGATAATAGAAAATCGCTATGTTTGGAAATTAACCAATGCATTTGTAAACAAGTCATAATGTGAAGGTGAAATTCTGATGGAAATTAGATAAAGGAAAAGGGAAAATTGTTATCAGTAGTCAAACAAGATTTGATTCGTATTTGCAGAAAAATCCAAAAGAATTTACAGATAAATTTTTATACTTGGTAAAAGATATTATAAGTACCTTATTAGAATTATTGGAATTTAGCAAAGTTGCTGGATTCAGTCAATATATAAAAGTCAAATATATTTCTACATACTGGTGAAAACACTTAAGAAAGATACTATCCATTATCAAAAATACCAACTACATAGAAATAAACTAACAAAATTGTGTAAGATCTCTGTGGAAAGATATAATGCTTAATAGAGAGGCATTAAAGAAGACCTAAATAAATAGATTAGAACACAATTATAAAGATACGAAGTATCTAAAGATTTAGTGCCATTCAGATTCTCAACAGGGTTGTGTGTGTGTGTGTTTGTAGCTTGATGAGGTGATTCTAAAATTTATGTGAAAATGCAGAGAAAGCCTATTATACTTGACATCAAAAAACTTGTTATACACCTCTAGTAATTAAGATGGTCTGTTGATAAAGCAGATAGAACCATAAGGTGGAATGGAGTCAGAAACCAACCCATCCATATATGGGCACTTGATTTATGACAGTTCACCCAGCAGTGGTGGTGAAAAACTAGAATGTTCAATAAATATTGTTGGAACTAATATTCATATAGAGAAAAGTGAAAGGGACCACTCATATTAATAAGCCCCAAGTGAATTACAATTAGGGAAAAACTCTAAAGGCTTACAGTATATATATAGGGAAAAGTCTCCATGGCTGTAGATTAGGGAAAGATTAAGTCATAAAAAACTAACCCTAAACAGAAGAATTAATAAATTTGACTTCACTAAAATTAAAAACTTTTCTTTATTGACACTAAGAGATAGTGAAAAGATAGCCAGAGATAGAAAGTATTTGCAATACCTATACATAAGAGAAAACAGACACACACTAGCAAAAGGGTAATTTCCCTTCCTCCCTCCAACTTGGTGGCTCAGACGCTAAAGAATCACCTGTAATGTGGGAGACCTGGGTTCAATCCCTGGAGGAGGGCATGGTAACCCACTTCAGTATTCTTGCCTTGGAGAACCCCCATGGACAGAGGAGCCTGTTGTAGCTTGATGAGGTGATTCTAAAATTTATGTGAAAATGCAGAGAAAGCCTATTATACTTGACATCAAAAAACTTGTTATACACCTCTAGTAATTAAGATGGTCTGTTGATAAAGCAGATAGAACCATAAGGTGGAATGGAGTCAGAAACCAACCCATCCATATATGGGCACTTGATTTATGACAGTTCACCCAGCAGTGGTGGTGAAAAACTAGAATGTTCAATAAATATTGTTGGAACTAATATTCACATAGAGAAAAGTGAAAGGGACCACTGATATTAATAAGCCCCAAGTGAATTACAATTAGGGAAAAACTCTAAAGGCTTACAATATATATATAGGGAAAAGTCTCCATGGCTGTAGATTAGGGAAAGATTAAGTCATAAAAAACTAACCCTAAACAGAAGAATTAATAAATTTGACTTCACTAAAATTAAAAACTTTTCTTTATTGACACTAAGAGATAGTGAAAAGATAGCCAGAGATAGAAAGTATTTGCAATACCTATACATAAGAGAAAACAGACACACACTAGCAAAAGGGTAATTTCCCTTCCTCCCTCCAACTTGGTGGCTCAGACGCTAAAGAATCACCTGTAATGTGGGAGACCTGGGTTCAATCCCTGGAGGAGGGCATGGTAACCCACTTCAGTATTCTTGCCTTGGAGAACCCCCATGGACAGAGGAGCCTGGGGAGCTACAGTCCATGGGGGTTGCGAGCAGCTGGACACAACGGAGCAACGAAGCACACAGCACACATGTAAGAGAAACTCACAACTAGAAGAAGGGCAATCTCCCTGCCTTTCTTCCTGCTCCCAGCATGCACTTAGGGGTGGGCTTCCTGCTGTTCTGTTTCTGATTTTTGTTGTGGCTTTCTGGGAGGAGGAGTGTCCGTGGCCCCTATACACAGTAACTACTAAAAGGTGAACATAACTACATCTTTTGATAACATACACACACACACACTCAGCTGAATCACTTTGCTATACACCTGAAACTAACACAGCATTGTAAATCAACAATACTTCAATAAAAAATAAAATTTTTAAATTTACCTGATCATTTTAAAAAGTGCTAATTTTGTTTTGAATCTATAACAATCAATTTTCCATAAGATGTTTTCATCTCATATATTTAAGTGAGATAAAGGTTTAGGAAAATACAAAAGGAAAGTGAAAAGATAGCCTGGGTAAAAAACGTGGTGATTCTCTGCTCTTAACAAAGCAGAAAAAAAATGACTGATGTAACCTCACAGTGGGGAAACTGAAATGTGAAAGGGAAGGTAAAAGAAGTCCAAGTAGGAAAAAAAAAGAAAGAAATTTAGACAAAGGAGCTGAGAAATGATGAAAGATAGTATCTGAATTATCAACAATGAAGAACTTCTACAACACTGAGAAAAACAAATAGTGGTGATTCTTAGGATTTTAGAGGAACTCCTGATCTTGGATAGAAAAATCTTTCAACTTAACATAAATAATAGAGCCTCCAAACTAGTCCTGGGAGAAACCCTTAATTGTTTTCAGTGGAAACAATTGTTTTAAATAATTAAATATTTAACAATTATTTTAAATATTTAAAATAATTGTTTTAGAAATAAGGGCAAAATGAGAAAACAAAGCTTTTCTTGGAGAGTTCAATAGAAGGTATATGGGGAAAAATCAATAGATAGGAAAATTTTAAAACAGGAATAAATTCAAACTAAGGAGAATCTGAAATTGTTAGCATGCAGAAATCAATTTTTGGTATCCCAGCTTAATGAGCAGGATAATTTTAATTTCTTAAGAGTTTTTGTCAATTCATTTTTGTTTTTTTCTTTTGGAGTTTTCTGATTTTAAAGGGGAAAAAATGTTTTGAAAGTATTAGAATATGAAACCAGATACTTGGTGTTTACCCTAACTTTATCAATAGAAATGCTAATTAGAAAGCATCATCTAATAACATTGTAGCAATTTTATGGTCAAGGCCATAAAAATGTTTACAAACAATAACCTCGTTTCTTTCCCTGAAATACCCTTTGATTTATTAGTCTATACAATCTACTTTTGATTATTAATTTTCCACTTTGTCATTTGTTATTTTATCTTTTCTACTGTTGATCTTTTGGCCATTTTGTGGATAAGTAGCACCTCGTTCAGAGAGGAGGGGGAAGGAAACTAAATAAAAAAATAAATGCATTTGTTTACATTTATTGTGCTTCCTGTTAATCCTGCCATGGAGAGGTCTAGTAACAAAGTTTGACACTATTGGCTAAAATGATGCTGCTCAAATTAGTCCTGTAAACCAAGAAAGCACAGACACCTATGGGAGCCTAGCAGGTAAAGAAAGTGAGTTCCTGAGTCACTCAGTGATGGATATTATGGCAATTTTGGGTAGTACATACTACCCTGAAGGAATTACAATATTTCAACTTACACAGCATACCTTATGGCTGAATTAGGCCAATGCGCTACCAGTTTACAAAATCTGCACCGTTAGCATTGGTAATAAAACATGTATATGCTTAGATGTCATAAAAATGAAAGTGAAAGTGAAGTCACTCAGTCGTGTCCGACTCTTGCAATCCCATGGACTGTAGCATACCAGGCTCCTCCATCCATGCAATTTTCCAGGCAAGAATACTGGAGTGGGTTGCCATTTCCTTCTCCAAGGGATCTTCCTGACCCAGGGACCGAACCCGGGTCTCCTGCATTGCAGGCAGACACATTACCATCTGAGCCACCTGGGAATTGTTGCTCTAGCATACTGACATAATTATGAACTAGTTGATATGAAGACCACCAAACAGGGACCAAAAACAATGCATTAAACAAGTCACGAAGTGCAGGGTTAACAAATGAACAGCTGGGACCACCGTGGTTCCTAATAATAATTTACAAAGAAGTAACTCTTGTAGAACTTATCCTAAGCCCAAAGTAAACCAATCCTTATGAATGTGTGTTCAGAGCCTTTCCTACAGAGGTGCTCAAAAAGTATTTTTAATCATTAAGAATAACTTTTGGAGACGGAACAATATGTTACATAGATGTCTACACTCACAATATAACTTTCTGTGGCTTTATAATAGAATAGATAGTTGAAACAAATCCCAAACAATTTCACATACTTATTGGGAGACTATTTTAATCTTCAAATAGTGATGTATATATTTAAGATTTCATGTTGTTTCTGTTCAATTTTTTTCAGGGAAAATTTCATGGAAACCCAATGCATGTAGCTGTGGTTATTTCAAATTGTTTAAGGGAAGAGAGGAGAATATTGGCTGCCGCCAACATGCCTGTTCAGGTAATATTTTCTCCAGTTGCAATCTTTTCACCCAGAACTCAATTTTTCTAAAACAGAAATTCTAATCTTCTTTCCAACTGTCTTCTTCTATCTGTATTAATGGTGCCATCATCTGTTCATCCAATTGGAATCAAGGTCTTAGGATCATCTTTGAATAGTTGCTTTTCTCTGCCTTCTTACTGAGATAACTACCAAGTCTTTGCAGAGTTTGTTCTTTTCTGTTCCCACTGCTCTCACTCTGGTCTGTGGTCTTACAGCATGGGCTGAGGACAGAGTAAGCACTTCCTGGATAAATTCCTGCGTGCCAGCCAGGCTCTGTTCCTTTCAGCACGTTTATGCTCAGGGACAGTCTTGCTTGAAACTCTTCAGTATTTCCCAGTTTGCTACACCACAGGTCCAACTATTCCATAAGCAGGAATTTTGTCTTACAGAAACTGCATAAATACTTCTTGTCTGTTTCAGTGTGCTCTGCCGTGCCATATTTTAGAGAACATTTTATCCCACTATACTGAATGAATTCAGAGTCCCCATCAAAACTAAGCAGAGGAGTTAATGAAGGCCTTGGGAATACTCCATTTAAAAAGGAAAGAACATGTAGATAATCAAGTTTCCAAATGTCATGCTGCATAATTTAGTGATTCACACTAATGTATTTATTTTTGAAGATCCAACAAAAGTATCTTTTTTTCAACTATTAAAAATTCTCAGATTTTCTTGCTGTTAGTTTATGGTTGTTTCTAGAGAACTATGAAGTTTTAACAACTTACTTTTATTTTTTAGATGTTAATAAGAATGATATCATCTTTAATTTTAAAATCTAAAGTTAGTAAGTTTCTAAAGTAAACATAGTTTGATTCAGTGAAAATTTGGATGAAAATTAAGATTCTATTACTAATATATGATATTTTCATATATTCTCAGTTGTCCTTTTTTGTAGCCCTCTTATCTCTAGTCATTATATATATGTGTGTGTGTGAGTGTGTATTGTTGTTATTGTTCTCTTCACATATCAGGTATCAGCCAACTTAGAAACATTTATTTGAATAGATGCTAATCAAAATCATTCCCAAACAATCTTCTAGTACTACATACTACCACAAAAGAAGCACTGGTTTGTAAACTTCAAAGCAATAGACAATATATAGAGATACACAGAGAGAGAGAGAAATAACTGGAGCCAAAATGAGAGAGAGGGAATTTTACAAATCGTCTGAAGAATGTGATGTAGTTGAAAGAACATTTCATTGAAAGTTAAGCACCTGGGTTCCACTTGAGGTTCTGGGACTCATTTTCTATTTAGTCGTCACTCTTTCTAATCATACCTCCCTATCCAAGTGTAAGGTGAAGGGTTTATGGGCATTCTCTCAACTCAGACATCTATGTAAATGTTATATCTAAAGAACAAACTCAGATAGGTTATTAGAATGGCCAGGAAATATGGCTTGGAGTCGCTGGTTAGTCTTTCCAATAATACTTAACCAGGCTAACAGTTTACATATTCTTTGTAAACTGTCTTTGTTCCAATATAAAAATAAATTTCATCCTGGCAGATTCAACATCCCTAATTCTGAATTCAAGTACAACTTAATGTAGTTTCACATTTTATAGAATTTCAAAAGTCACATGGGTCTGATGTAGAAAAATAGGAAAACAATTTTAACTGTAAAATCATCTGTAATTTCACTGTTCAAAGATAACAAATGATAATATTTTGGTGTATGTATTCTTCTAATCACATGTGCTTGAGTTTACATATCTATACATATATCTAGATATTTATAAGTAAATACATACATACACAAGCAACAAAGATCACAAACATATAGTGCCTTATAATTTTGCTCTATTTCTTAATACTTTAACACTACTCATATGTCCTTTAGGGCTCCCCAGGTGGCGCTAGTGGTAAAGAACCTACCTGCCACTGCAAGAGATGCAAGAGACATGGGTTCGATCCCAGGGTTGGGAAGAACCTCTGGAGGAGGAAATGGCAACCCACTCCAGTATTCTTGCCTGGGAAAGCCCGTGGACAAAGGAGCCTGGTGGGCTGCAGTCTGTAAGGGTCGAAAAGAGTCAGACATGGCTGAAGCAACTGAGCACAGACACACGTATGTCATTAAATATTTTTCTGCAGCATGGTTTTTAATGGCTGTAGAGTATTTCATATCATACTGATCCAGAGCTCAGTTCAAAGAATATTACATATACTACATTCATCATAAGCCTGTTTCATCAATATGTTGACGTTTCAGGGATTTTGCTGGCAGTCCAGTGGTTAAGTCTTTGCCTTCCAATGCAGGGGTGGGGTGCAGGTTTGATCCCTGGTCAGGGAGCAAAGATCCCATATGCCTTGCAGCCTATAAGCCAAAACATTAAAAAAAAAAAAAACAGAAGCAATATTGTAACAAATTCAATAAAGACTTTAAAAATGGTCCATATAAAAAAATGTTTTTTAATATGTTGAAATTTCAAAACGTTTTTCCAGGGGCCTCTGGAGAAATCCTTACAAAGTTCTTCAGTTTCAGAAAGACAGAGGAATGTGGAGCACAAAGTGGCTGCCATTAAAAACAGTGTGCAGGTGAGCGGTCTCTTACAGATGGTAGGAAAGGCGAGCAGTGGCCCCCGCTCCATGCACCTTTCCCTTTTGTGCCCAAAGTTACTGCGTACAGAAATCATGGGGTACTTTGTTATAAGATAAATATCTCTCACACACTATGTTCATATTAGGGAAGATTTCTTTGGGGAAAGCTTTGAACTTCGATTTCCTGAAAATTGGAATCACACCAGTCTCTATCAGTGAGAAGCCATGTGGCTTCAGGCAAGTAAGTTACTTGACATCTCCAAGCCTCTGCTTCTTCATCTGTAGAAGGAAGGATAACCACTCTAGAAGGCTGTTTGGGAGGACTACATGAGGTTTAATACTATATGAAAAGCCTTTAGCTTAGATTCTGACTTCTTTATGTCTGAGCAGAAAACATCACTAGATTTGGGGAAGAGTAAAAGCAAAAGTCTCAAAGACAGAAATGAAGAGGAGACACAGAGGAGGCATAAATATTTTCTAAGAGGCAGAGAGGAAAAATTTTAGACTGTATTGTCATAAACTATATCCTTTGATAGAGGAGACTTTAAACAAAAAGATAGTTGGTCCCTTAATACAGAGCTATATGGAGCTAAGTGGATAAAGTATTCATATTATAAAAAAGGTGTTAGCATCATTTGGAATTTACTGAGAAATGAGAGACATGATGCTGAAATTTGCAAACACTCAGGAAGAGAAAATGGAAGAGCAACTTCAGTCTGGTTCTTCCAGAGCTATTCTGTTTTCATGGGAATTAGCTCTTTAGAAATTGTGGTTCTATAATATATAATTAGTTTGGGATATTACTGGAGATTGGAAGCACTAAACAGTGTATTTTGAAATACTGATAATGGATGGTATTGTTTCACTGGCATGATTAATTGCAACAAGAGTATGTTTTCTTTTGTAAAAAGATGACAGAACAAGACACCAAATATTTAGAAGATCTACAAGATGAATTTGATTACAGGTATAAAACAATTCAGACAATGGGTAAGTTTTTGTTTTGTCTACAATTCCACAAAGGGACATGGCTAGGGTTTCTTCTTTCCTGAAATAATTGATAAATTAATCTCCTTTTTTTGAAGAGAGGATGTAGGAGAAGAGAATTTAGTTTATTTCCTCCTTTTCTCTTCATATAAATATGTATTTTTCACCAACAATTCAAATTATAAAGCTCATGAGAAATAACCCCTATATCAGAATGGTTCTCCAAAAGCTAAGAACATTTCCTGTAGAATCAAAATATTGTTATTACAACTAAGAAAAGGAATAATAATTGTCTATTATGATCAGGAAATTACTAATATTATCTCTAGGTGAGTTTTTTACTATAATTTTTTTAAATTAAAAGTAGAAATGTTATTCACTGTAGGGAAAGTAGAAAAAAATTACAAAATTTAAAAATCACACAAAATTCTGCTATCTAGGTATAACGCCATCAAAATGTTAGTATATTTTCTTCCAGCCTTTGCCTACATGTTCAAAATACATCCACAGAGATTTATTTACAAAAAATGAAATCATCTTGCACGTAGTTTTTGAATAGTATTTTAAGCTAAACTTTTATTTTACATATTTCCTCATATTAAAAAAAATCTTCACACACATAATTTCAATAATTATATAAATATCAAAATGTAAGGACACTGCAATTTATTTCACTATTTCTTTGTGGTTAAATATTGAGTTTGTTTACAATTAGGTGTTTTTAAAGAAATGTAAGGAAAGAATGAGAATATTTACAAAGATCTAAGATTTAAAGGTAATAATAGATTGGTCACTAAAAGTGTGCTGCAATTAATAGAACAATTAGAGAAATTTTAATCCTGTCTAGATTAGTTAATATGACTGTACCAGTGTTAATCTACTGGCTTTGACCATTGTACTATGGTTATGTAAGACATTAGAGGAAGCTGTGTGAAGTCTATATGGGAACTCTATACTATTTTTCGTAACTTCTTGCAATTCTAAAATTATTTAAAAATAATTTTTAAAAACACATTAGATATAAATTCTTTTTATAGGTGATTTACAAAATCATCCTTAACTATTGAAATGCTAGCTTAAAATTTATCTGGAAGGAAGTAATATGGATGATTGTGATCAAATGCTTATTAACTTCCTATCTAATATTTAAAAGAGAGGATATTAGTTTTTCCTGGCATAGGTGAGATGTGACATGTTCTCCTGGCACCTTCAGTATGTCTTGACTCCCATGAAATGTTGATTATTATTATGTTATGATTATAAGTATGTTCATGAATTTGTATGCACAATTGTGTGTACAGTTTTTGTGCATGCATAATTGTTTGTATGTACAAATTTTTTTCCTTTGGAGAAATTCACACAACACAGGTTTCATCAGATTATCAAAGGAGTCCATGATCTTAAAAAGGTTTAGAACAACTGCACCTTTAATCAACCATTACAGTTCATTGAAAGCAGCCTCACTCTAAATTTCATATGTGAACTACCAATTTTATTAATTAGAATACAATAAAATACATTATAACAATAACATTATTTTGAACTTATGTTACAATTAGTTACTTTAATATCTTTCAGTACTTCATAAGCAGTATGAAGAATAAAAATGATTATTTTATCACTTAAATCACCAAGTATTTATTTTTTTGGTTATAAGTGAAAGGAAATATTTTAAATGAAATGAAAGATACATGGGAAACAAGTTATATCCTTGCTGGTGAAGAATGAAAAGTATTAGCTAATTAAGTTTTGAATTGATAAAATGATGTCTAAGCAAGAGTGTGCTATACATGGGATCTAGGAGTTAGTAAATTTGTGAATTAATACAGCCAGAAATACTTCTTGGAGACCAGTGCTATTTTGTGGAGAAATTTGCCACAACATTGTTCAAGAGCCTCTTCTTCACAATTACTGAAGCCCTATCAGTGTTCCAGGGCTTCATTTAGATATATGAACAGTTAGGCTTTCATTTAGATACATGAACAGTTGGTATAAATACTCACTTACTATATACCAACACATTTTTAAGTTAAAATTAAACAATATGATGTTTCTTGTACTTTTTCCATTTAAGAGGATAAATCATTTGGGGTTTTTTCAGCCAGAGATTTTTCTTAATTTGCAACTCCCACTTCTGGTTTCACTGTGAGTCTAGCTTGTTTTGCAAAGAAAAAGAGAAAGCAAAGGATTTAGTCATTATTAGTTCATAAGACTGTGTATAAAAGTACAACCCTTGCAGGAGATTGAGTCAAGACATCAAGAGGGGTCAATATGATTTAATCATGGGCACAAAGAAAGACGCCTTCTTTTCTTACACATGCCAACCAGCCAAGGTCGTTATCAACGTAGAGATGATCTAATAAAGAATCCATTATAAAAACAGTGTATCTTCTCTCTCCTGGCCCCTAAAAGGAATATTGTGAAGAATGGTGTTCTCTCAAGGTCTGTAAGATAGAGAGTTCATCTCTGGCATGCTTGGATGTAATCCTTCCTGGCAATATGAGCAGTCAGGGATTTACTTCCAAGCTCATCACTAATGGCCCCATTTCTGCTCTTACATCCTGGATCTTAGGGTGGCAGGTTACAGCCAGCTTGGCTTTCAGGACAGAGACCTCTAAATCTGATCTCTTCTTCACAGACCAGGGTGACAAGAACAGTGCCCTAATGAATCAGGAAGTTCTAACTCTGCAGGAAATGCTGAACAGCCTGGACTTCAAAAGAAAGGCTAGTGAAGAACTCTAATTTGGCCTTTTGTCTACTTTTCTCCTTTTTATGTATCTAGTCCTACTGAAATGAAGCTCTTTGATTTTATCAGTTCCATTTATGCTGAATGATTTTATCAGTTCCATTTATGCAATGTTTCTAGGACGAGTATCATACTGTTTGCCATGCTTCTCTACCTAAGTTTACAAATCAGACTCTAGAGTCTATTTATTCTGCTTATGGTAGTACCTGTACTATAGAAGAAAGTCAAAGTGAAGTCGCTCAGTCGTGTCTGACTCTTTGTGAGCCCGTAGACTGTAGCCTACCAGGTTGCTCGGTCCATGGGATTCTCCAGGCAAGAATACTGGAGTGGGTTATCATTTCCTTCTCCAGGGAATCTTCCCAACCCAGAGATCGAACCCAGGTCTCCTGCATTGGAGGCAGACCTGTACTATAGCTACCATTAATTTTAAGGTGAACATTTTACCCAGTTTTTATTTGCCATTATTTCAGACATGACTGTTTTAGTTGCTGTACTTTATATGCTGAGATGGGTTCTACTGTATATGTATAATTAAGATATTACTTGATGACTACTAAAATTTTATTGCAGAAATGTGTCCCAGTTTCTATTATGAGAAATGACATTGTATTAAATAATTTTGTTGATTTCAGGATAGTCCACTGAATCCTGAACATATTCAATCTCATCTCTTCCCAAGGAGAGGAAGAATATTTTTCTGGCTCAATAAAATATTTTAAAAGAGGGAAAATATCTCTATTTCAATTCTACCTCTCTTTGAAAAGAGACAAAACTGAAATTAACCAGTTACTGAAATCGATAGTTTATTTATATAAGTTTGGTTTCACTTTTTTGTGCAGGAATTTGTGTAAGCACAAATATTTTCACCCTAAATCAATTATAAACTTAAACAACTATATATCAGGTTTTAAATATGTAAATATTTAACCCAAGATAAGCTCAATACTTTTGTACATAATGAATCTATGCTATACATTTTATGCATGCTATCTTAAGATTTTAAGGAGAAGGGGAACCTCAGAAATAATTCAGTCCATTCATCTGACTGTATAGATGAGAAAGCAAAGTAAAATGACTTGCTCAAATTTACATAGCCTGTGGCCAAGCCAGGGTAGAAATTCACATCTTCTAATCCCTAAGCCTTTGAAAATTATCCTCTTCCACTATGCTTCCCCAAACCCAGATAAAGTGGTAATAAAAACTAACGTGTGTGTGTGCTATAACGCTTGAGTTGTGTCTGACTCTTTGTGACCCTATGAACTATAGCTGGACCAGGATCCTCTGTCCATTGGGTTCTCCAGGCAAGATTACTGGAGTGGGTTGCTGTGCCCTTCTCTAGCGATCTTCCCAACTCAGGGATCAAGCCTGCATCTCTTAAGTCTCTTGCAATAGCAGGCAGATTCTTTACTAGGGCCAACTGAGAAGCCCAAAAACTAACAGAGAGAGGCTCAAATTTTAGTCAGTACATTTAAGAATGAATGCATTAAGATATTTATAAGAATGTAAATTTAATTTATAAATGGCTTTTTAAGAAGCAGATAAATGGCTTTTATGACTACAGGATTCAATATTGTCACAGGAGTTACAAATTCAACATATTTATATTAATGATATGAGACTTTTGTGAGATATTATGAGAATGTTAACTGTGATCATAGTTTTTTCTTCATGATTTATTGAATTGCAATAATTAATTATTTGAAAAGGTAGTCCTATGGCAAATAGAAGGTAGTATTTGGTAAAATATTTGGTCAAAATTTTAACCCAAAGTTTTATCTCCCAGGTTAGGCAGACTGTTTTCTAGATTGAATTATGACTGACTTCGGTTGTGTGTCAAAAGAATCTTCTCAGTAGTCACTTTTGTTTTTAGGAAGCCCTGAGTAAGATGACACAAATAGTGAATGAGACGGACTTGTTAATGAACAGCATGCTGGTGGAGGAGCTGCAAGACTGGAAGAGGCGACAGCAAATCGCCTGCATTGGAGGTCCACTCCACAATGGGCTTGACCAGCTTCAAAACTGGTAAAATGCGCTGACTTTAGTTTCTAGTGAAAACCACAGGAAATACACACACAGCTTCAGTGTCACTGAGCTGGAGAATGCAGGCTTAGACCTCAGCGTCAGTTCATTCAGCTTGTTGATGGCTTATGAGCAGCTGGAACTCTTGAATACAAATAGATGTAATTGTCTAAGTGTTCTTAATTCCCATTCCTTTGGGGAGAAAAATAAAGCATCTACAGAAATCTGTAGAATGCATAAGAATTGCTTATTTTCTCCTATATAATATGTCAATATGTCAGTCTTAAAAGACTCAAGTGAATTTTTTTCAAATCATCAATAAATACATTTTCTTGAAGAGCATGAGCAGCACGGGCTTCAAACACTCTATCTCATTTTTAAAATGTGTATCTTAAGATGTCAACATAAAACTAAGCATTAATTTTGTGTTTTTAACAAAGTGATCTGTTTTTGTAGATAAATGACAAATCTCAAGTGGCTAATACAATATGGCATCCCCTGCCTGCGTACACGTGCACACAGTCATGTACAAATATTATCCTTTGTACTAAGCAAAGGTTTCTAGGGTTTCCCCCTTCATCAGTGCGAAAGAAAGTTCTCTGAGTGAAGGAGCAATTAGAAAATATAATGAAAAAGAAGGAAATTTTTTGATTGAATCGAAAATTGCTTTCCAGGGGTACAATCCAATGCGATGAAAACATAGAAACTGGGCACACTAGCACTAGAAGGTCTGCACTCCAGGACTCCTTCTCAGGAAAAGTAATCGGGCGCTTTAAAACTTTATTCATTTCCTTGGGAAAATATTTTGATTCACTAACCTCACTGTTGTTCTGAAAATAAGATAAACAACAAAGGGAGGAATAGAGAGCATAGCAGAAATGGTGCTTATGCCAAATTCAGTAAGGGGTTGGCAGTTCTTTCTACCATGTTATGGAGAATAAACTTTAGAAAGAGCTGCTGTCAGGGAACATGGACTTAGTAAGTGTGATGAGACTTCTGCCTCCTCTTAGTTGGAGGCCCTTTCTGTGTGCCTTTCAATCTCCCCCTTTCCCAGACTTCCAGCCCAAGCTGCCACCTCCATTTCTGAAGTGAGATCCAAGGTGTGAAACTCTAAGCAGATAATTTTCTTCAGAAAGGCCCATTGGCAATCTTTTGGTTAATACTTAGGACTTGTATAAATATATATGGGGGGGTCACATTATTTTTTCCATCAGTACTCTTGCACATAAGATTCTTCATAAGATGTATTTTTAAAGTTTTAAATTTGCTCTCTTTGCCCTTTAGTGAGTACCATCTTTTAAAAATATATGTGTTTAATAGACTTTTTAAAAAAGATAATTAAAAAGAATTTGGGGGGACTTTCCTAGTGATCCGGTGGCTAAGGCTCTGTGCTCCCAATGCAGGGGGCCTGGGTTTGATCCCTGGTTGGGGAACTAATTCCCAAATGCTGCAACTAAAGACCCTGTGTGCCACAACTAAGACCCAGTGAAGCCAAATACATAAAAATACTTTAAAAACAAAGGAATTTGAAACCAGACATTCACAAAATTTTCTAAATGATTTCTTGTCTAAAACTGAAGGTAAAAATTTTAAAACATTGAGAACAGTTAACATCTATCAAGCATTTTAGAGAAAAGCTGAGTAAGGAAAATAAAAACAAAAAACACTGTCACTAACCTAATGGAATTAAATTACCAATTAATTTAATAATTATTTAGTAATACTTGCTAAATAGTTTAAATGGTGGAGTTTAGTAGAAAAAACTATCTGCATTTTTCATTGACTGTTCAATAGCTTTACACTGTTGGCAGAAAGTCTGTTCCAACTCAGAAGGCAGTTGGAGAAATTAGAGGAGCAATCTACAAAAATGACATACGAAGGAGATCCTATCCCACTGCAAAGAGCACATCTGCTAGAAAGAGTCACTTTCTTGATCTACAACCTCTTTAAGAAGTAAGTCAACGCTTTGCTCTATACCCATAACTTAAACAAATTGTACATCAACTATACTTCAGCTTAAAAAAAGAGAGTAAGTCAAGTGTTATCCATTTAGATGCCTCCTGGCAGCTTCAGTTTTACGTAGTTGGGAGGACACCCTGGTTGGTGTTCAGGTGAAGGAATGGGAGAGAAGTGTTAAACAGTGAGCTTTAGGGTGCAGTGAATAAAGCTCCAGAGAGTTCCAGAAACATTTTTTACTCATCGCTGTTTATTCATCAATACTTCTTCTATCACTTAACCCAGTTTTTCATGAGTGACCACGTTGCCCACCCAAAGTTCATTTTTCATATTTTAGAAAAAAGATTTCAAGGATTTCTACTCAATATCAATACATATTCAAGAAATGAAGGGTGGAGAATATGTTTATGTTTATAAGCTCATCTAAAGAAAAAAATATTACTGTGTATCAGAAATCCTGATATCTAGGTCAAAAATGGCATGAAATTAACTTTCTACTTGACGTTTATTATGATAAAAAGAGACTGGGGCTTTTCTTCTTGACCTAAACATAATAATTAAGAATTATTCACTGTTGCTACTTAGGGAAATCTTTAGGCATTTCCCATCTCTTGGTAATTATTTATGTGAAGTCTTGGAAAGATTTGAGCCTAATGGGAGTTTGAATGTCTTGTAAGTGTAGAAAATTTGGATTTTATAAAAGGACAGGATCCTGTTACTCTATGGTTTTCAGCCTGTCAATGTCTTCAGTGTTTTCAAGTGACACGCTTTATTTCCTTTGACCCCAGCTCATTTGTGGTTGAACGACAGCCATGCATGCCAACCCACCCTCAGAGGCCAATGGTACTTAAGACTCTCATCCAGTTTACTGTAAAGCTAAGGTAGGCAGAATGTATTCTATTGTTTCATATTTATGGTACTACGGTCAATGTGTAATTAAGGCTCATTTCTTTCAATGTGGCTTTCATGCATCTATTCTTTATTGAGTGCCTCCTGCATGCCCAATTATGGTAAATTAAATACCCACAGAAATATTAAGGTGAGAGCCCTGCTTATAAAGAGTGGAACAATGAAGATGAGGACATGAGAGTTATTAGCATGAAAGTATGAAATCACAATTTCGGATGACATGGGATTAACTGCTCAGAAGATTGACTTGACAGAAGACTGGGGAGCCTAGAGAATGCCTTGCAGTCACTGTGAGGAAGGACCTTGAGGGAAGAGCAGGGGTGTGAGAGTGAAACTATCAGAAATAAAGACTTTCTAAAATAAGGAGTCACTGTTCTATAAGCATGGGGAGCAGGGAGAGAGAGAATCGAGAAGATAGATTGGGACAGGTTGGAAGGTTCAAATATCCTATCCAGTCATATAGTGGCAAACTCTTTACCTGTGATCACCCAGAAACTAGCTTATTGAATTTTCCATGAAAACTCTCAACACCATGATTTTCAGCACATCCTTATTATGTACTTGATTTAAAGAGAAATGATTATGTTGTTGCTGCTTTATCTATGTATGTGCTTCTTTTCATTTTCATGAGCAAACTAACACATACAGCTTTCCTAATGACAGTCTTAAAATAATGAGTTTGACTTCAGACTTTCAAAGATTTTCATCATTCCTCAGTCTCTTAAGTCCCAAAGCTTTAAATTCCTGATCACTAGGTCATCTCTGGAAAACTGAAATTCCAGACCAGTACAAGAGGTTGTGATGCCATGGTAGATGGTAGTTAAGATTCCATGATAGCATCCCTGGTCACAGATCACTATTGAAACTCCACTTTAGTTCAGTTTCATTTTATCGAGACATATTAACATACAACACTGTGTAAGTTTAAGCATAAAGACTTGATGTGCATAAATGGCATAATGATGATTACAATAAGTTTAGTTGACATTCATCACCTAGGAACTTCATTTTTAAAAGGAAGGCATTTGTCTTTCATTTGCATTTCAGAAACCCTACTTGAAATTCTGAATCATTTCCTTTGTGGAAATTTGCACCACAACACTAAGAAACAAACAAACAAAAAAAGGCAGAAACCAGGTTCCTTTTTAAAATTTTATAATTTTCAAATGTATTCCTTTCTCATCCCCACATCTCTATACAACCCAGAAAATTGTAACACTAAAGGGAAATAGGATAGAAGGGTGGTGCATATATCCTGCTTTCCCTTGAGACACCCCTGTATGATATATTCAGTCTAAGATGTTCTCTGGGGCAAAAGGGAAGATGAGTAGGATTGCTCAGCAAAAAACTCTGAGTGGAAGAGGTCCTTGAATGGGCATCACCTGGCATGTTGTTTAAACTGACTGCCAGAGCCATAGACCATTAGTCCCTGGCAAGGGTATTCTGCCCTCCTCTTCCATCTAGCTGTTCAGTCCCCATTCTTCTTTTCTGTACCCAGTTCCCCCATTGTCTTGACAGCTGCTTCTTTACTTAGTATTCAAGATTTTTCCTAAAACCCCACTCTACCAAAGCATTCCATCCTCCTGTTTCAAAGGAAAGAGGTGACATGGGACTCCCTTTTGTCATCAGCACTTAGCAGTGAGTTAGATCCTTCCTGATACAGGATAGAAAGGAAGGCAAAAAGGGAAATCATTTCATCTTACTTCATATGACTTCCTCACTACCAGCAACCATATTATTATATCCCAAACCCCAAAACCAATTCTGGCAGGATTTTTAAGAAACCTTGATACATTCTTTTTGTTTTGTTTGGGTTGTTTGTTATCTGTGATTATATTTCTCTAATGTCTATCAGTTGCTTATCACCAATCCCTTAAATTTCATCTGTTCAGCTGGACTTCTTCCTGTGATGTATCTCCATGTCTACTCTGCTCCTTCCTTAATCTTCATTATGCCAGTTTCCCACTGCCTGGGGCTGTATTTGGTTTATATAAGAAGCTCAATGCAGCTGAGTGAATAAACATTATTTGGGATGAGTGTATATGTAAATGAATGAGTAAGTGAATGACTGAATGAATACCTCTGAAACTGAACTGAACCTGCAGAGAGGTTATGTCAGAGGGTACAGCTTAGAAAAATTGGGGAAAGCTAAGGAGATACCACCAGACCACCTGACCTGCCTCTTGAGAAACCTGTATACAGGTCAGGAAGCAACAGATAGAACTGGACATGGAACAACAGACTGGTTCCAAATAGGAAAAGGAGTACGTCAAGGCTGTATATTGTCACCCTGCTTATTTAACTTATATGCAGAAATGCTGGGCATCATGAGAAACGCTGGGCTGGAAGAAGCACGAGCTGGAATCAAGATTGCCGGGAGAAATATCAATAACNGAAGAGTTGACTCATTGGAAAAGACCCTGATGCTGGGAGGGATTGGGGGCAGGAGGAGAAGGGGACGACAGAGGATGAGATGGCTGGATGGCATCACCAACTCGATGAACATGAGTTTGAGTAAACTCCAGGAGTTTGTGATGGACAGGGAGGCCTGGCGTGCTGTGATTCATGGGGTCGCAAAGAGTCGGACACGACTGAGTGACTGAACTGAATTGAACTGAAGGTGATCCCTGAAAGAATTAAAGGAATTGTTATTCTGACCTTTAATCATTTATTTGTGTGAAGTTAGGGCTTTTTCAGTTATAAAATTTTTGCTGTTACTTACATGTAGTATCTTTAAAGTCTGCAAATGCATTTGAAGTGGAATTTTCCATATTCTATCAGAGTCCTAGTCTTTCTCAGTATTTTACCATAAAACAGTTATCAAAACATTTAATTTTACTAAGCTTACCATTTTTTTTATAATATGAGAATTAAATGAATCCACATAAATAGACTTACAAAAGTTTTTTCTTTTATTTATATGTCTAACCCAATTTTAGGCTTTAGCCAAAATATATAGCTATTTTTCTGATCTAGCCAATGCATTATCCAACACACATCAACTGAAGCAATATGAAAATACTTTCCAAATATGTGTTCTATTAAGTGGGTGATGTCAATATTAGTAAAACGGCAAAGTAAAGAGGAATTGGACATTTTTAAAGCACACTAACATATGACTGGAAATAATGTGAGCTTGATTTATATATATGTGGCATAAATATATTTAAATCTTTAAATATAAAAAGGCTTTTAGCCATGAAAATTTTTATCTTTAATTCTTTATGTTTTTCAGACTGCTAATAAAATTACCAGAACTAAATTATCAGGTAAAGGTGAAAGCATCAATTGACAAGTAAGTTTCTAATTTCATTTTGAAACATGAAATTGTAAGACTTTTTAAGAAGAATTGTCCATATTTTATAGAATAATTTTTAACTTTTAAATTTACTTCTCTCACATTACATATCAATGTACTTCAATATTTGACTTTAAAGTTCAAACCTTTAACAGAACTCCAATGAAGACTGACTTTAAAAATTTTACTATAAAGACATGAAATGAAATTTTATATACTATCCTTATCCTCTAAAGTTGCATAGAAAAATCTTTTTTTAGATCTATTAAATAACTCATTTTAAAGAATCTTCTTGGTTTTACAGGAATGCTTCGACTCTAAGGTAAGACATTTACTTTAGAATTTTTTTGTTGTGCCCATAAATACATTTTTACCTGAGACCATTGTAAATAGCTAAGATTTCCTCTCTAGCAATCGAAGATTTGTACTTTGTGGAACTCATGTCAAAGCCATGTCCATTGAAGAATCTTCCAACGGGAGTCTCTCTGTAGAATTTCGACATTTGGTGAGTTAAGCAGTGAAATGACCCAAGTTCCCCCTCACCCCTCCAAATCAGACACATCTAAACTAATAGACCTTATAATTTAATGTGTTTTGTTCTTTAGTGTTTCTTATGTGAATTAAGGATCATATTGAGAAATAAAACATGTCATCTTTGAAGAATTAAAAGTGGTTAAAAAAAAATTGAACCTTAACTCAGAAGGTCTGAGTTCCTAACAATGGTGATGCTGTACCTAAATATATGTCTTAATTAGTCAAAATATTGTGGTCATGATGACAGAGATAATATGTCTTAAAGTAGATAAGCATTCCAGGCTTCATTTTTAAAATCTCCCCAATTAATACCCGATAATGGCATGCCTGTCTAAAAGCTCTGTCATTTTAGGAGAATTGGCTTGGGGAAATAGGATGGTTTTAGGTGTGAGATGCACACAGTTGGCCTTGGCATTTCTAGAAAGCTTCTGACACAGCCTCACCCTGTTACTTCTTGTTTTACCACTTCCTCTTAACCGAGAGTTCTCTTCCTGCTTCCTTTCTAATTCTTTGCATAGTTCTTAGGTTCGCAATTATCCTATTGCTTGTCTAGCCAAAAACATGTTACTCACCTGGCTTATTAGCATTGAGAAGGTACCTCACCTGAAGGTTGGGACACCACTGAAGCAGCCTCAAAAGATCTACTTTCTAAAAGATAAAATTTATGTTAACTGAAAGATAGCTGCATACAATTATTTATACTGGTATTCAATTTTTATTTTGTTTTTGTGTGAATCCTTGAATCCCTCTGTATGAGACTGCTAAATCAATTAAATGTAATGATGAGTGATTATATATATATTTTTACAACTAGCACTCTTTTTGCTTAAGTTCAATTCCTATTCTCAAGAAACTTTCAATAATGGCCCATGTTTGCTAATAAGTGAAGCCATAAAAGGCTCTTAATTTAGAGATACCTGTCTCCCAAAAGAGTCATTTGAAAAAGGAAGGACAAGAAACATACCAAAAAGTGGTTGAGTCTCTATTCCAGGAAGGATAAAATATAAAATAACAAAACTTTAGTTTTCATGATGCTTTTCTAGTTGCAAAGCATTTTCATATATATTACCTTTTATATAATACCTTTTATCACTTTTTAATACCAAAGGAAATATAGAAAATCAGCAAAGCAAAATTTTAAAAATTAAAAACCACCTATATGATCCCAACACCTTGACATAACACTATTTATATCCTTATTTTTGCATTTTCATTCATATATATATGTAAATATGTGTATACATATATAGACAGTTTCCCTGGTGGCTCAGACAGGAAAGAATCTGCCTGCAGTGCAGGAGACCTGGGTTTGATCCCTGGGTTGGGAAGATCTTCTGGAGAAGGGAATGGCTACCCACTCCAGTATTNTAAAGTCTTATTTTTACAAAGCTCATGAACAGTATGAAAAGGCAAAAGCTCTTAAACTGCCCTTTATATTTTTATATAAAATCAAATTCATGTTTCTCTAATTACAAATATAAAACTTGATAACTGCCAACTGTATAAGAAATTTTGTTTTAAAAAGAAGAGAATAGAAATTGCATATAACGCCCCCCTAAGAAAACAACTATTAATGTTTTGGTTCAAATCATTCTAGACTTTATATGTATGCTGCTGCTGCTGCTGCTAAATCGCTTCAGTCGTATCCGACTCTGTGTGACCCCATAGACGGCAGCCCACCAGGCTCCCCTGTCCCTGGGATTCTCCAGGCAAGAACACTGGAGTGGGTTGCCATTTCCTTCTCTGCTTTATATGTATACATTACTTTAAATGTATACATACACACAATGTTTCATAACCTGCTTTCTATCACATAGCAATGTGAACAGCTTTCCATAAACTTACTCTTGGAGAACATGATTTAAAGTGGTTGCATTGTATTGCTGTAATTTCTTTAGTCAGTTCATTATTATAGAATATCATAACATCACTCATTTTCCACAGGTAAGAGGTAAGTCTTTGAACATCATGACCCAGGATGTGAAAATCACAAGTGAAAAACAGTTCTGTTACTTTATGGTATCAATTACTTTACTCGTATATCTAAGGTTGGCACTTCAGTGGATGAATTGATTAAAAGAACAAACTGATGCAGCCCAGGTGTTTGAGCTTGTCAGTAAATAATAGAGTTGCCAAATCCTGGATTGGAAGTGGCTTTGGGAATCATCTATTTAGTTGACCTAGATACTAGGGCATTTCTCTATGCCCTACGTATTTGGAATTAGAAAACCTGGGCTTGAGTCCATTCTGACAGTGACTGAAAATATGACCCTTGGCAAATGATCTGATAGAGAAATATTGCATTTTTTTTCCCTCTAAGAGATCAGAGTCATAATGCCTAATGCTCCGTGCTCAGAGAAACTGCATGTGTAAGACCACCTACATGATGCAGTTAGAAAGCAATGAGGCTTATTCCTGGTGTGGTTGGTATGGATTCAATCTCCTGGCTTTAGTGTTACAGCTCTATGAGAAATTTCTTCAAATTATTTGGAAGAAAATACACTTTATAAATCCAGCATTCAATTATAGTCGATCTAGCCCACTCCACAAAACCACAAAGATCCATCACAACAGTTTTCATGCTCTATGTTTTTCCTTTCCAAGAATTCTTCATTCTCTTAACCATGTCTTAAAATTCTTTTGCCAGATATCACTGCTCCATCAAGGATGAGTTAAGCTTTCTTTCTAAGGTAGAACCTTGGCTTACAGCAGACTGTCAAACAGGTTTCTCAGCGCAGATAGAACAGGAACAAAGCTTTTGAGTTTAAGAATATTCTAGTAAACCAAACAAATAAGAGTTATTCTTTCCACCTTATAGAAACCCATAAAGGTTTTCCAAACTTCCTAATTAAAACATTAGCACATTATAAATAAAAGTCTGTTTCACAAATCTCCTTGGAATTTTCACCAAAGTTGCAAACAGCGTTTCATGCAGTGACCTCTCTGAATAGTATTTACTAAGTCTGAATAGAGTAAGCACAATGCTTCTAAACTCTTCTTAAGAAAAACAAATCAAGTGGGAATAAATTAAATAGCTGAATTCTTCAGTACTTTGTCATCTTTGTGAATGTAAAATCAGAATCTACTTGAATTTCTCTAGAGACAGAGATCTAAGTAAATCAGCTTCCACTATAGAAAAACAATGTCTCATTAACACTGCCTACTTATCTCATTTTGAATTTATTTCCTCTCATTTTCTGATTAATAACAAGACCATGCGGTTATATCAGAATGATTTGCTTTTTTTCCCCCAAATTTGCTGGAACTGGATAATTTTATTTTAAGCTGTTCTTTGAGCTCCCCCTGTTGACAGAATTTTAATATGACTCCTCAGTACATTCAAAACAAACCATAGACTTGAATGCTGTTTTATGTGCTATAGGAACCACTGAAAAGTCACACGATATAAGAAGTGGACTCAGAAAGTTGAGATGGGAATCAGGAGCTTGGCCAAACTTAGGGATGACAACAGGAAAGTCAGGAAAGAGTGGGGGAGGATCTGGTGATTAAGTGGGATTCACAGAGTCATGGGGCCAGGAACTGCAGTAACCAAAATTTAGGGAGAATGGGAAGCCGGGATGTTATAACCTCATTTTCAAATTTCAAACAGTAGCTGTTGCTTATCGCTTATCTCTGTACCTGCAGCCGGAGTTCATAACCTGATAAGAACTTATTTGACAAATCCTTGTGTGGCATTTACTGTGTTGCACTGTCTAATAGCTTTGCTGGCGTTGACTGATGTAACTCTCTCCTCAGTGCCAGGAAGTAGAGACCAGTAGTGTCATACTTATTTTGGCCAGGGAAACTGAGGCACTGAGTGAGTGCATGGGCTTAGATTCAAACCTCAGCAATCTGGCTCCTGTGTCCACGCTTTTGGCCACTGTGCCACGCTGCCTCTGGAGCCACAAAACCTTGCCTGGGAGAGACTGGGATGGTTGACCCTCACTTTGACCTCTAGCTCATCACACCCACCCACCCACACACACACACACACACACGCATGCACAGAGGCCGTGATGGTTATCACTCCGCTTTGACCTCTTATCACACACACACACAGAGGCCTTGATGGTTGTCACTCCGCTTTGACCCCTTTATCTCATCACACACACACACCACCCATTTGCTGGTATTCCTATAAGAAAGATCTCTGCTGGTTTGTGGGTAGCACCTCATTCTTTCTTCTGTTTAAACTACTATTTTCCCCACTTTACCCACCTGCTCAGAAACATGTAGCTACCTCACACCAGAATCCTGACAAAGTTGAGAAGGAACTTGAGATCACGATTCCCAGGAACACTCGGGCTGCTCTGTACCTCCTGCGCACGTTGGTTCAGTGGTGGGAACAGCACTGCCGATGGCTCTGCCTCTTGCAGGCAGCTGACCTTGCACTAACTCCCAGTTTCCTTAGCTATAAAATGGCTTCATGTTCACCTGCCCCTCGGAGGGTTGTTGCGGGGCCCAAACGAGATGAAGCGTGTGAGAGTCCACGGCAGTGCACTGTGCACTGTCTGCCATGGGCTTCTTGAGCAGCTCTCCAGGCTGCCCCCTCTGTAACAGGCGCGGAAGTGACTCTAAAGGTGGTTCCTGGCTTAGGATAAACTACGAATCCGTAACCTCCCTCCTCTGCCCACCTGCCAGGTGCTCGGCTGGAAACATTCCCTTTAAGAGCCACTGAGCATGTTCCTCTTCTGGCTCCAGGTCCATGAAACCTCAGACCGCTATACACCCCTTTTATACGCTTGCATGTCTACTCCCAGTGCCCGCTGCCCTACAACTTCCCCGACTTTGAGTCCTCCTCTCCTACGTCAACGGGGTTAGACTGAATACTCATTTAACGATTGAGATCATACCGTGGCAGTTTCCTCAAGACTGCCAATCCAAACCTCTTTAGAACTGCAGCGCCCCCTGGCGTTTGACTCTGAGATTATCCGGGAAGAAGTGAGCTCTCCGGATGCGCACGGGCTCCTGGCCAGGAGCACTGTGTTGAAACAAGGAAATTGCACTAGACTCATGCTGTCCCTAGAAGGCTAGGAAGACCAGTGAAGTCGGCACCTTGGTTGTGGTTTGGTAAACGGTGGAACTCTGGACTTCCCACCCCTATTTCAATCAATCAGCCCTATTTGAAGTATTTTACAGATAGGAGCCCAGGTTGGAAATTTACTTCTAAGAACATGTTTCAGGGTTAAAAAAAGATTTTAGAACCATTAGACTACACAATCTCTGAAACTCCTTTGACAGAGATTCTGTAATCCTCAGAAGTGCAGCAGAGAATTTAGTGTCATACTTATTTTGGCCAGGGAAACTGAGGCACTGAGTGAGTGCATGGGCTTAGATTCAAACCTCAGCAATCTGGCTCCTGTGTCCACGCTTTTGGCCACTGTGCCACGCTGCCTCTGGAGCCACAAAACCTTGCCTGGGAGAGACTGGGATGGTTGACCCTCACTTTGACCTCTAGCTCATCACACCCACCCACCCACACACACACACACACACACGCATGCACAGAGGCCGTGATGGTTATCACTCCGCTTTGACCTCTTATCACACACACACACAGAGGCCTTGATGGTTGTCACTCCGCTTTGACCCCTTTATCTCATCACACACACACACCACCCATTTGCTGGTACTCCTATAAGAAAGATCTCTGCTGGTTTGTGGGTAGCACCTCATTCTTTCTTCTGTTTAAACTACTATTTTCCCAACTTTACCCACCTGCTCAGAAACATGTAGCTACCTCACACCAGAATCCTGACAAAGTTGAGAAGGAACTTGAGATCACGATTCCCAGGAACACTCGGGCTGCTCTGTACCTCCTGCGCACGTTGGTTCAGTGGTGGGAACAGCACTGCCGATGGCTCTGCCTCTTGCAGGCGGCTGACCTTGCACTAACTCCCAGTTTCCTTAGCTATAAAATGGCTTCATGTTCACCTGCCCCTCGGAGGGTTGTTGCGGGGCCCAAACGAGATGAAGCGTGTGAGAGTCCACGGCAGTGCACTGTGCACTGTCTGCCATGGGCTTCTTGAGCAGCTCTCCAGGCTGCCCCCTCTGTAACAGGCGCGGAAGTGACTCTAAAGGTGGTTCCTGGCTTAGGATAAACTACGAATCCGTAACCTCCCTCCTCTGCCCACCTGCCAGGTGCTCGGCTGGAAACATTCCCTTTAAGAGCCACTGAGCATGTTCCTCTTCTGGCTCCAGGTCCATGAAACCTCAGACCGCTATACACCCCTTTTATACGCTTGCATGTCTACTCCCAGTGCCCGCTGCCCTACAACTTCCCCGACTTTGAGTCCTCCTCTCCTACGTCAACGGGGTTAGACTGAATACTCATTTAACGATTGAGATCATACCGTGGCAGTTTCCTCAAGACTGCCAATCCAAACCTCTTTGGAACTGCAGCGCCCCCTGGCGTTTGACTCTGAGATTATCCGGGAAGAAGTGAGCTCTCCGGATGCGCACGGGCTCCTGGCCAGGAGCACTGTGTTGAAACAAGGAAATTGCACTAGACTCATGCTGTCCCTAGAAGGCTAGGAAGACCAGTGAAGTCGGCACCTTGGTTGTGGTTTGGTAAACGGTGGAACTCTGGACTTCCCACCCCTATTTCAATCAATCAGCCCTATTTGAAGTATTTTACAGATAGGAGCCCAGGTTGGAAATTTACTTCTAAGAACATGTTTCAGGGTTAAAAAAAGATTTTAGAACCATTAGACTACACAATCTCTGAAACTCCTTTGACAGAGATTCTGTAATCCTCAGAAGTGCAGCAGAGAATCGGGTCATTTTTCAAAATGCATTTAATTTAAAGGATTTGCTTTGGAATGAGGAATCTGTTGACATGCTGTCACAAATTCAAGGTTTGCAATTACTGCGTATTTTTCCCACCTTTGTTCTTTTCTTGGAATAATCTTGCTGAAGATAAGATTCCATCATCTAGCAAGTGGCCTAACTTGGTGAAAGCTTCAGTCTGTCTCTATAAAATAAACATTCCCAGGAAGCAGCCTTTCCTGGAGGTCCTAAGAGCTGGCTTGAGAGTGATTGTTGAAATGGCAGAAATTGTTTGAACAGGGAGGCTGAAATTGCAGTCTCTTGAGTTTGTTCTGTCAGTAGGCTTTAACTGATAAATGGCAGTTTTAGCCACAGACTGAGGTGTTAGGTAATTTTGTTTATGTGGTGGAAAGTCATGAAGCACAAAGAAGTGATTAGTAAAGCCTGGCTGACTTGAGTTTCATTTAACAAAATAGCCAAACAGATGTCCTGTCAAGGTTCAGTGTTCTCAAACACAGATCCACCACTCACACTCCAACTGGCTCAAGCATTTTCACAGGAAGTCGATTGCCTTCTGAACTAATTTAAGTAGTTGCAATGCTTTTTAAAGACAAAGATTGGTGCACGAATAACACTAGAAACACAGATTTATTTGCAATGTCTTCTGTATAGTCCCTTTATTTTATGGATTGAGAATTAGTTGTTGCTTGACATTCATTTCCTATGATTCTGTGATTAAGGTCTCTCTCTCATATGACTGTACCATTGTTTCCCCTCTTATTATTGTTTCTCAGGATCTAGGCCAGGGTCTAACACATGATAGGGACTCAGCAAATACTCATTAAACGAATGGATTATTGCAGTTGTTTTCTATTCCACATAGTTTACCATGTGCAACATTATCATAGCTTATGGCTTGTTAAGAAATGAGCAAGATAAACAACAATGTCCTACTCTATTGGGGACTTCCCAGGTGGTGCAGTGGTGAGGAACCTGCCTGCCAGTGCAGGAGACATAACAGACATGGGTTCAATCCCTGGTCAGGAAGATCCCCTGGAAAAGGCCATGGCAACTGACTCCAGTATTCTCACCTAGAGAAACTTATGGACAGAGGAGCTTGGCTGGCTACAGTCCGTAGGGTCGCAAAGAGTTGGACATGACTGAAGTGACTTAGCATGCATGCACAGAGGTAACAAAAAGAATATGGTGACATCTTTACCTGCCTTTCATTAGGTTCCATATATTTTCCTAGGTGGAGTCCTGGTCAGGTTATTTAGTCAGTTTTTTAGTTTCTTAGCAGATTATCCAGTGGCTACTTTTCTTTAAAAGTGTAATACAGTCAATCCAGTTATATCATCAATGTCATTAATATAAATATCATAAATATGGATGTTTTAAATCTATAATCATTTCAGATGGTTGAAATGGCTTTTAATACAACATTAGTCGTACATCTTATCTATGATATTTTCACAGTCTGTAAGGAATGGACCCCAGGAATGTGAGATTGAATAGTGTCTCTAGCTTAGACTGCACTGATAAAATAATAAAGACTATGACTGGTGGCCATGCAAGCTTGGAAAGTTAATGACACTGCCTTCTGTCAGAACCGCTCTCCTCCAGTCCTGTATATTGTTGATACATATGTTGAAGCTGATGTCAGCTTCTTTGTTGGATTTCGTTCTAAACGTACCTCACAGCTGCATCAGAAGTTTAAAGCAAACACTAGAAATTAGTTTGAATCCCTATGTAAATCTCTCTCCATCCACATTACAGTTCAACAAAGTACTATTTTTAAAGTACAGAGTCTCTTCCAAAGCTGATGGACAGCCCCGTGTGCCACTGCTCTGTGAAGTCCTGATTTCTCAGGACTGAGAAATGGAAGAGTCTTTGAAAGACTCTTGCCATTTGGACCAGTGATCACCCAAGTGCCATAACCCAAAGGTGTGAGGGAATTATATCCATGATGAATTGTTGTTGTACACACACACACACACACACACACACACACACACACACACACACACATTTAATTAAACAAATTGAACTACAGAGACTAGAATGAAGGAGGGATAAGAACTCCAAAGGCTCCCTTTGGCAGTCCTCCCACTGTGGCCCTCCCTTCAGAAAGAGATGTCTGGGTAGTCAAGGCCGTGAGCCCAGAGCTTCAGGCATGAGCCCAGAGCCCAGGGCTTCAGCATTCCCAGCCCAGAAGGCTTCAAGACCACTTCCAGGACTGTACAGGCCTTTTCCCCAGGTCTGCTCTCTCAAGCACAGATGAAACCATCAGTGCAAACATTTCCAGGCATGAGGAGAGGCCTCAGGGCCACACTCGTCAGGTCAGCCCCACACAGAGGGAGAAGAAAGAAGGATGGGAAGTGGTCCCGGAAGCTCATGCTCTCCCCAGGCCAGCATGCTTCAGCAGGACTTTGAGGAGTTCAAACGTGGCCAGTTAGGTCATGTGAAAGCTTAGCTGTTGGTTGAGGCAGGAGGCGAGACCATACTTTAACATTTGTTAAGTTGATTTATAAAGGCTAAATATTTAGACATATGGTATGTGGTCCCCCTCTGTGCGCTTGCCTGAGGCCTCTCAAATGTTCTGTTCAAAGGTACAAACACAGGCTTGTGTCCTTTCTGCCACCGAGCTCAGTGAGGATGTGAGTGGCACCCACTAGTGAACATGGACTTGTGGATTCTTCTGTTGTCTCACTTTGCATAGTGTGAACACCTCCTCCTAGAGGGCAGTGAGATTGTCTGTTGTTTAAAAAAACAAAATGTGGTTTTTGTTCAACTTGGTGCCTAAACATGACCATTTCATCTCATGGTCAATTAAAGGAAGGACAATTTAGTTCTACATAATAAGTAAACTGGGGGAGAGGGCTGGTTGTTGGGTGTGTTGGGAGTAATTTTAGGGGTGGTCTAAGAATTTTCAAAGGAATTTTCGGTAACATAACTTTCTACTAATCCATAAGAAGCAGTCTCACTGAGTCAATCTAACCACCTCCAGGCACTGGAAGGTACCACAATGGTCTAGCCCAAGGGAAAGAGGAGTTTTTAATTTTCTATTTCCTTCTCAGTAACAAATTCTATTTTAATGTTCCTCATTATCAATAAAATCTTCCTCACGTAGTTGTCATTCATATCATCATATTAGAACTTTTTTGAAATTTAACACAAAAGGACTCCAGCTTGTTATTAACTATATTCAGTAGCAAGAGCTCCCTTTCAGAGCTGACTCAGCCACCCACAACCCCACCCTGACTTTTCTACTCTAGATAATTCCACTTCTGCTCATATGTTCCCACAGGACTTAGTTTTTTTTATCGTTTAAGCTTTCTATATCATCTCCAATTTTTCTACATCCCTTTTGAGACTAAACACAATGTGGATACATCACATTGAGAATAATTGCCTCATAAATTCCACCTGGGGTTCATGTTAAAATGCAGAATCTGGTTCAGTAGGCCTGGAATGAGGCCAGAGAGGCTGTTTTTCTAACAAGCTCTTAGATGATGACAGTACTGCTGGTTCTGGGCATATAGCAAGTTTCGGTCAGATTTCATCCTGGGAAAAACAGCAATTTCTGTCCCACTCCTTCCCATTCCAAACCCACTCCTCAGAAGTGATCATTTTTTGAGTTCTAAGTATTATGTTAAGATCATACTGATATTTCTTGATTTTTTTATTTTATGTACTTCTGAATTATTTCCAGAAAAAGATTAAGCTGTGGCTCTCTTTTTAAAAAACTTTTTATTCTATACTGCAGTATAATTGATTAGGGGCTTCCCTGCTGGCTCAGATGGTAAAAGCATCTGCCTGCAATACAGGGGACCTGGATTCGATCCCTGAGTGTTGTGTTAGTTTCAGGTATAGAGCAAAATGATTCAGTTATACATATACATGTATCTATTCTTTTTCAAATTCTTTTCCTATTTAGATTGTTATGTAATATTGAGCAGAGTTCCCTGTTCGGTACAGTAGGTCCTTGATGGTTATCTATTTTAAATTAAGCTATAGTTCTTATATACCAGCTCTTCATACACATGAATTTCACCCACTTTTACTATATTACTGTATAGCATTTAGTTTATTTGATATATTCAGTGTTTGGGGTTACATTAGTAACAGGTAGATAAAACAAATTAAGTAAAAGGTCTGAGCTAACAAATATGTCCAGGGAATATAAGAATGGAAATGCAATCATATTGTTATATGGTTCAGCTGTTAACAATGTTTTCATGATCATAGTAATGTAAGCACTGGATGTATTAACTAACCAAAACCCGACCAGGGTCAGGGAAGCTGGGAACCTCATTGCCTAGGCTGAGGCTAGTAACTACCCCTCCTGTTCAGCCCTTACTCTCCAGCTTCTGGGGGTTCGGTGCTTCCACCCCTGGCTCTGACGCACAGCCCCTAACTGCCACCCTCGCTCCACACTCCCCTAGCTTTCACTCCCAGACCTGGGGTACAGTTTTATTTTATTGGCGAGTAAACAAAACCCCAGTTGTTACTTTTGTTGAAATTCCTGGAAGAAGCTGAGGAAAGTACATATTTTTCCCACTTACCATGTTTGACCATGTTTGAGCTTGCTGTAAAAAAATCTGTTATGATACTGACTTGTTTTTATTCTAGCTACACACATCTGGCTTTCTTTTATTAATGGTTGGTAAGTCAAAAGGACAAATTTCCAAAAGTAAAAATAAAGAGCAATTTATCTGGATTTCAACTGAGGAAAATATGCTGGAATTGTTGAAGCTAGAAAGTTCATTGTTTCGGAGACAATATCATTCTGTTTGTGGAAAGGAAGATTTCTCAAACCCTGTATATCCTTTAACTTTTTAAAATAAGGAACATTCCATAGCAGGAGATGTTTGAGGGTATCTTATACTTTAAGAATTTGTTAGTTTTTATAAAAGCACATCTAATAATAGGTAACAACTATACCCATTTGTATAAGGCTTCCCGAGTGGCACTAGGGGTAAAGAACCTGCCTGTCAATGCAGGAGACATAAGAGACACAGGTTCCATCCCTGGGTTGGGAAGTTCCACTGGAGGAGGGCATGGCAACCCACTCCAATTTTATTGCCTGGAGAATCCCATGGACAGAGGAGCCTGGCGGGCTACAGTCCATAGAATGGCAGAGAGTCACGACTTAGCACACATGCGTATGCATTTGCAAGATAACAATTTATTTCTTTCCCCCTTAGGGCTGTCACATGGTGACTGAGGAGCTTCATTCCATAACATTTGAGACACAGATCTGCCTCTATGGTCTGACCATAGATTTGGAGGTAGGTGTTTCAAGGAATATTTAGTATTTGCTAATAACATTTTCAGGAATTGGTCAGTATTTGAAGATGAAAACTCAATATTTTCTAGGTTTTAGTACATTCCTTATTCATTATTTTTGTTGTAATTTAGGAAATCAGTATGTCAAATAGTCACTCACTAGTCAGCATATATTATTCTGATTAAATATAAATGATAAGGAAATTCCCTGGCTGTCCACTGGTTAGGACTCCACACTCTCATTGCCAAGGGCCCAGGTTTGTTTCCTGGTCAGGGAGCTAAGATCTCACGAGCTATGTGGTATGGCCAAAAAATAATTTTTAAATTATATATATATATATATATGATAAAATCTCAGTCATTATAGTTCAATACATATTGAATAATTTGTTGCTGAGACTATATATTTGTTTGTTTTCTGAGATTCCCAGATTCGTGGATACTCAGTGGAAAGCTTAAAGAGAAATAAATATACTTGAACTATGTCTTGTATGATTTCAAAATTTTAACTTGTACATAAAATTGCCTCAGAAGAAAGGTATTTATAGTGTGATGAGCAAAGACCAATGATAGGAACATTATTTTGATCCTCTGACAACAGTCACCATTGAACTCAAAGAAGGAATCAAGAAATGGGGAATTAAATTGAATATAATTAACAATGAGCTCCTTGAAGGCAGGATATCACACCTTTATCCTTCCACTACCAGTGCCCAGCACAGTGCCTGACATGTAACAGATGCTCAACATTTGTTGAATAAATGAACGAATGAGTGCATGAATGAATAAACACAATTTCATACACCTGAATATGGTCCTATTTGTAGAATATATTATTTTAGCATTCTGCCTTCACTCTTTTATCTTAATGAATGTGAACATATTTATAAAATTTTCCAGAGATTCCTTCATCCCTTTTCCTTAAATGTCTGCTTCCATAAGCTGTTAAGTTCCTCAAGTGGGCATTTCACTACCTACAAGCAATATAACTTCTGTTAATGTGAAGGGACTTAATGTAAGGCGATTAGTTTCCCAGATGAGTCTGTGAAGCCTTTTGTTCCATAAGGTTGAAAACATTAGCACCAACAGTACCAAGTTGAGTGCTTTGACAATAGAGGCAGCAGCTCGATCTCCCATAATATTTTGTATTCCAAAGTCATTTACCTCTCCCTCTTCTACAGTTAAAACCCCTATATCCGATACTGACATTAATGAGATGTTAAATCATAATTTGAATATATTAACCCATTCCAGAGATAAATTTCAAATTAGATTCTTTGATGTATTAAGAGGAAGGTTGCTAAGTCAATACAAGCTCTAATTAGTTACATTTTAGGCAGTACATGATACAAGAAAGTAAAAATATCTACATAATATCAGAGAAGATGTTGGAGCTGACTGACCGAGCATCTGAAAGGACCCCTGTTTTATCACTCTTTCCTCCTGGTACCTCGACTCATGTATGCTCAGACGGCTCCAGTGCCTTCATGATCATTTTAGTGACCAAAGTAGTGTGGACCCAGCACTGGAGGAGTGGGGTTGACTTGAGATGGCTCTTTAGGGGAAAGATCCAAGTATAAAATCAATGCAAGATGCTGCTACCTTTAATAACTGTGCCTTTTTTTTTTTTTTAAACCAGACCTGCTCATTACCTGTGGTGATGATTTCCAATGTCAGTCAGTTACCTAATGCTTGGGCATCCATCATTTGGTACAATGTGTCAACCAGCGATTCCCAGGTAGGGACCCTATTCCTGTTTCTTCCCCTTTAATTCCATTTCATTTGTTTTATGGTCAACAAAACCCATGTGCCCCAAAAGGCATGTGTGTATGTGTGTGTATAAATTTTGGCATACCTTTGTGGGTTGTTTATTTCAAAACTCCAGTACACCTCAGTTGTATGATTCCCCCCTCGTGTCATATTTAAAATAACATGTTCTGATGTACTTGGGCCATGAGAGTTCTGGCGAGCAGAAGTGAGAGACAGGTGCTCTTTATTTCTGAGGTCTGGTCAGTTCCCAACTCCGTGCATCACGGAGCATCTAAGGTCATCCAGTTGCTCTGTTCACTGGACTCTGGAGAATCCCTTCTCCAAAATTTGAGGTCTGGCTGCTATGTTCTCCTCCTCAACTACTTCTGGCCACACCATCTCCACAGTCGTTCTTCCACAAAGGTCGAGAATTGGTTTCAAATTAGTGACTAACATGTTCACCAATGTTACCTAACAGCACTACAGATTTTCAAGTTGATTATAGATTTAAATCCATTCTAGGCTCAAATTGGCTTCTAATGCCATCTGGTGGTTATTTAAGATATGGATGAAAAATTGACCTCAAGTTTCAAAGGAAGCAGAGACGAGAAGCACTTCTTAAAAGAGCTTCTATTAAGACCACCAAGGAAGGGCGTGGCAAAAAAGGATGAGTCACGATTTCCCTCCATTCTCTCTTAACAAAACCCCAGTGTGTTGTCCTGGAAACCACCAAGGTCTAGAGAAAATAGGTCAGATGTAAATAACTATTTCTTCTTGATGCAAAGCAAATGTGCCTTCCAAAGGGAAGAATTTTTCTACCTCGGGTCCTAGCAGTAGGAATAGTCATAATGAGGCAGCTCCAAGCATTCCCTCCCTTTTGTCTAATGTGCTTAATAAGAAAACAGCATAGAAAATGCCTCAGCCTTGTACCTTCTCATCCTCTGGTGCCCTGCATCTGAGTCAGATTAACTACAGACAGGAAGGCTGTTCAGAGTGTCCTGTGCCTTGCTTCCTCTCAGCCTGCAGTGAGAAGAATAGAACTCACTAGAAAAGTTCAGTTCAGTTGCTCAGTCATGTCCGACTCTTCCCAACGCCATGAACTGCAGTACGCCAAGCTTCCCTGTCCATCACCAACTCCCAGAGCCTACTCAAACTCATGTCCATTGAGTCGCTGATGCCTTTCAACCATCTCATCCTCTGTCGTCCCCTTCTCCTCCTGCTTCAATCTTTCCCAGCATCAGGGTCTTTTTACATGAGTCAGTTCTTCTCATCAGAAGGCCAAAGTATTGGAGTTTCAGCTTTAGCATCAGTCCTCCCAGTGAATATTCAGGACTGATTCCCTTTAGGGTGGACTGGTTGAATCTCCTTGCAGTCCAAGAGAGTCTCAAGTCTTCTCCAACATTATTGTTCAAAAGTATCAATTCTTTGGTGCTCAGCTTTCTTTATGGTTGAAATCTCACATCTGTTCATGACTACTGAAAAACCTTAGCTTTGACTAGATGGATCTTTGTTGGGAAAGTAATGGCAAAGCTTTTTAATATGCTATCTAGGTTGGTCATAGCTTTCCTTCCAAGGAACAGGTGTCTTTTAATTTGCAGTGATTTTGGAGCCCCCCAAAATAAAGTCTGTCACTGTTTTCATTGTTTCCCCATCTATTTGCCATGAAGTGATGGGACCGGATGCCATGATTTTAAAATTGTTTTCTGAATGTTGAGTTTTAAGCCAATTTTCTCACTCTCCTCTTTCACTTTCATCAAGAGGCGTGTTAGTTCTTCTCTTTCTGCCATAAGGGTGGTGTCATCTGCATTTCTGAGGTTATTGATATTTCTCCCAAAGTTATTTCTAGAATATTTCTGAAAAGTTACCTGGTCTGTAAAGCCAATAACAGCCAACACTTCTGAGATTTAATGTCATTCTCCATTAGAAACTACACCTTTAGAATGTTTCATCCAATTCCAGGATATAGGAAGGAGATGAACTAGCCTCAGAGTGCAGTGCCACCACCCTTAGCTTTCTTCAGCATCCTTCTTCTATGAGAAAGCCACCAAAGATGTCTGCTTTAGCATTTCAAATTCTGCTCTAGTTTTAGATGAGAAACCTGGAGATGTATTTCATATACAACTCCTAACACGCAAATGTACAGCCAGCTTACAGAGTTCAGCATAACAGCTCACTCTGGCTTCTCTTAACTGTTCCGCTTCAAAACCTAAGCTCCTAGATCTTAATTATGTTCTATGCATTTTGGTCATCTGTCCAGATATAATCTTCATGTTCAAGGAAATTCTTTCTCTCTTCTCTTCCCCCTCCTATCTCTCACTCCTTCTTACAGAATGCCATGTCTTCTTTTATTCCTACCTTCTGAAGTCTCTTGAATTGGTTCCTTTTCTTGCTGCCCAGCCTGGTTCATGTTTGCCAAAGGCCTTCTCCCCATATTGCAAAGGACTTCTTAATTCCTCCCCCACCTTCCTCCTTAAAATATCTTTCTTGGCTTTCTCACCTTCTCCTTTCCAGTGATCTGAGGTGAAGTCTTCTGTTCTGTCATTGTTGACCCAGTTTCTGTTATGAACAGTTGTTCTTTTGCAGTTGATCATACAAAAGATCCTCTCGTCTAGAACAATATTAGAAAAAACCATCCTAAAATGGGAGTCCCAAGTTAATTATGAATTCATATTATAGGATTCGCTTCATTAGCCTGGGACTTAACTATTTTTGCGCTTTGGGATGCTTTGTCTGGTCAAGATATAACTTGTACTAACCCATGATAAACCAATTAAATATCATGATACAAGTTTTGTTTAGATTAATATTATTTCAGGGGACTTCCCGGTCCAGTGGTCCAATGGTTAAGAATCCACCTGCCAATGCAGGGGACACAGGATTGGTCCCTGGTCTGGGAACTGAGATCCCGTACGCTTTGAGGCAGCTGAGCATGTGCCACGAGAGAGTGGCCCCGCTCACCACAAACAGAGAAAGCCTACTTGCAGTGACCAAGAGCCCACGTGCCGCCATGAAGACCCAGCACAGCCAAAAATAAATATTTTTTAAAAGATTAATATTATTTCAGAAGAGAGTATCTGTTTAGTTATTTGTTGGACAGTGTTAAGTACTTGTATGTGTTGATTGATAGTCTATAGTCCAGGGAAAGTTAAAGAGCTGCCCAATGATTCCTTTAAGGATAAGATAGAACCATATATTACATTAGACTCAAAGAACCAGAAACTCTTCAGGAAAAGACAAAATCAGTCTTAATTTAAAAGCACAACAGAGATGAGATCTGTATTGTTAACTTAGGTTAACCTAAGGAGTTTAAATCAGGAATCCTATATATTGAACTACAGTGTATTCAGTGTGATTAATACATACAATCATCAATACAACTCTGTTTCAGAACTTGATTTTCTTTAATAATCCTCCATCTGCCACTTTGAGTCAACTCCTGGAAGTAATGAGCTGGCAGTTTTCATCATATGTTGGTCGTGGCCTGAACTCAGATCAGCTCAACATGCTGGCTGAGAAGCTAACAGGTAAGAGCTGGCATACATGGAGGACTTGCCCCTGTTTCTGGTACTCAAGAGTTTTAAAGAATGAGGGTGATATTACTGTTAATAATAATAATGCTTACCACAATTTATTGAGTGCCTACTATATGGCTGGATATAGGGCTAAATGCTACATTTTCCTTCTCACAGAAATTCCTTAAGGCAGAATATTGAGGATAACTCATTATTCTATTTTTTTTAATTCTATCCATTCTGTACATGAGGATACCTAAGTTCAGAGGTTAAGTGACTTGCCACAGCTAGTATGTAGCAAAGACAAGATGCAGGCCAGGACTGTCCAGTTCTAAAGTACCTTCCTTTCTACTTGGCACTCCAGTCTCTAGGGTATTCTTATGCCATCTCCACTGAATGTACTGTGAAGCCTTAATGGTGCCTTGATCTTTCATATTAATATTAGAGTGGTTATTAACCAACTGGAAAACAGCTGATCCCAGGGTCAGGAAATTTATTTGAATTTTAAAAAACTACCCAAAGTGATAGTGAAGTGGTAGTCACTGAGTCATGTCTGACTCTTTGGGATCCCATGGACTGTATCCTCTATTTGTGGAATTCTCCAGGCAAGAATACTGGNGCAAAGAATCGTACATGACTGAGCGACTGAACTGAACTGAACTGAGTGAGTCGTGTGTGATTTGGTTAAACTTGACTTAAAAGGGATGCCAAGTTGCCCTTGGATCTACTATCTGAGCACTTGATGTTTAAATAAATTGGGAATATTACAAAATTTACTTAATGTAAACATTGTTTTTGATCCTTATTTAATTCATAAAGCACAATAGTAGGCATTCAATAAATATTTGTTAATGAGTGCATAAGGTTTTTAAATATATTGTATAAATAGCAGCCATATTTTTTCAGATCTTCATCAAATTATTCTTAGAATTTCCTGAAATTTTAGACAGAAATTCTTTTTTCATTGCCCTGGATTGGAACATTCAGTGGTGGTTCCTTATTGCTAAATGGATCTCTAGTTCATTCTTTTCATGATAATATTCAAGACTGTTGGCAATCTGGCTTTCACAGATTTATATTATAGTGTTTATTTACCAACATTAGGCTGCTCTTATGGCCTCATATATAAGCCTTGTTCATATCCACTATGCCTCAACCTACATTATTCTTGCTACTGGAGTGGTCTCTTCCTTCTTTGACAATTTATATCCTATCCATTCATGGAGGCCTGGTTCTAGACACCCACCCACTTCCTAAGGCTATCTTTAGTTCCTCCATAGGAAAGAATTCTTTCCTGGATAAAAATTTTCATGACATCTTATTTTTACTGTTTCTAGAATTAAATATACTGTAAACTCATAGCAGGTGCATAGGAAATGCTTGGGGGAGGGCAATCCAAATTAAGCACCAAATTGAAGAGTCTAACTGTTTAATAAAAATCTCAAGTGCTCGGGCCTGGTGCACTGGGAAGACCCAGAGGGATCGGGTGGAGAGGGAGGTGGGAGGGGGGACCGGGATGGGGAATACATGTAAATCCATGGCTAATTCATTTCAATGTATGACAAAAACCACTGCAATGATGTAAAGTAATTAGCCTCCAACTAATAAAAATAAATGGAAAAAAAAATCTCAATCTCATTCTTTTCTTTCATTTTAGTCCAGTCTAGCTACAATGATGGTCATCTCACCTGGGCCAAGTTCTGCAAGGTACAAATGGGGAAAGGATAGCATTATTTAAATTTTTTTAGTGTTCCTTTTTAAGCCTCTATTATCATAATTTGAGATTTTGAGGGTTTCTTTGATAGGGTTATTTTAGGAAGAATCTCTAAAGTGTTTTCTTATTTAAAATAAATATTTCACTGGAAAAAGCAACTTGAACTATCATACCAACATTACTACTGACACAATTATTGTCCTAACATGTTTGTTTATTTCAATAGGAACACTTGCCTGGTAAATCATTTACCTTTTGGACCTGGCTTGAAGCAATTTTAGACCTAATTAAGAAACACATTCTTCCCCTTTGGATTGATGGGTAAGTTCCATGAAATAATATGGAGGATTATATTTTCCATTATGAATCCATTCAGTTCTTATTTTTATACTGTCAGTTTTTAAAAAATTGCAGTGTAGCTGATTTACATCATGTTAGTTTCAGGTGTATAGCACAGTGATTCAGTTGTACATATATATTCCTATTTAGATTATTTTCCCTTATATGTTGTTATGTGCTGTACAGTAGGTCTTTGTTGGTTGTCTCTTTCACACACAGTAGTGTATATATGTTACTCCCAACATGGGTCCTAGTTTACCCCTCCCCTCACCCCACTTCCTCCTTTGATGACCTTAAGTTTGTGTTCTATGTCTGTAAGTCTATTTCTGTTTTGTAAATAAATTCATTTATATTATTTTTTAGATTGCACATATGTGATATCATATAATATTTGTGCTTGTCTGACTTACTTGACTTAGTATGATATTCTCTAGATCTATCCATGTTGCTGCAAATGGCGATATTTCATTTTTTATTGTTATGATTGCATTGTATGCATATATATCATATATACGTTTTATATGTAAAATATATATATTATACTACATCTTCTTAAGCCAGTTGTCTGTTGATGGACACTTATGTTGCTTTCATATCTTGACTGTTGTACATAGTGCTACTATGAACAGAAATAATAAAATATAGGAGAGGGTGTGGAGAAATGGGAACCCTTGCACAGTGTTGGTGGGATTGTAAATTGGTGCAACCACTATGGAGAACAGTACAGAGATTTCTTTAAAAAATAAAAATAGAGCTGCCTTGTGATCCAACATTCCTACTCCCTGGCTTATATTCAGAAAAGACAGAAACTCTAACTTCAAAAGATGCATGCACTCTACTGTTATAGCTTCTTTGTTTACAGTAGTCACTTTTTCTTTTCTTTCCTTTGTAAGCATATTTAGTGTCATAGAATGGAAAATAGTTGCAGTTTCTCACATTCTTCATCACATATTGATATTTAATCTGTATAAGAATATTTTAGGCATTATTGACTTTTGATTATATCAAAATAAATTCAGGTCTGTTCTTCGTGAATGCAATAAATTATAGTCTTTGATCAGATGAAACTATGCCATGTTCTATTTGTAGGTACATCATGGGCTTTGTTAGCAAAGAAAAGGAACGACTCTTACTAAAGGATAAAATGCCTGGGACCTTTTTGTTAAGATTCAGTGAAAGCCACCTTGGAGGAATAACTTTCACCTGGGTGGACCATTCTGAAAACGGTACATGCTCACTATTATTTATTCAGGTGAAATTAGCATTGAGTTTGGTTGTTGGTCTTTCCATCTTCAGAAGTGTGTGGCCTGTTGTTCTATTTCTCATGTGTTCAGTGGGTTTGCATATTAGTTGTTACGGTTGTTCCAGAAGAACGTAGCATGACTTTCTCACAGCCTATGTGGGTGTCCTCTATCATGTGGCCATCTGTACTCTACATAGGCAGAGAAGGGCTGGCCTTGTTTTATAACCAGTGACATGAAGAGAATGTAGGCTGGAAAAATGGCCACAAAGAATCCCTGCAGGATCCTGAACATTCCCTCTGTTTTCTCTTTTACCAGGAGAAGTGAGATTCCATTCTGTGGAACCTTACAACAAAGGCCGGCTGTCCGCTCTGCCGTTTGCTGACATCCTTCGAGACTACAAGGTTATTATGGCTGAAAACATTCCCGAAAACCCTCTGAAGTACCTCTATCCTGATATTCCCAAAGACAAAGCCTTCGGTAAACACTACAGCTCCCAGCCATGCGAAGGTTAGGTTCTTTCCATTTTGCTTTTTCTTCTTAAGATTTTGGAAAATAATCTCAGATTGGAGTAAAGTAAATGAAGTTCCTCTCTTTATGTTGACTTTGATCATTATAAGATCTAAGGGGCATGTGGAGGTCAAAGCCTTAGAAATGAAGTAGTGTGTAAGCAGTTCCTGAAAAGAACAGCAGGGACTGTCCAGCTAACAGGGCAGTTAGTGATCAGCAGCTAGACTTCACCGTGGCTATGGGCGCTTCTCAGCCACCGACAGTTTCATTTTTCTCCCTTCTAAAGTAGGAGTGGCACCAATTTCACCTCTATGCCTAGGGAGAAAAAAAGAAAGAAGTAATGATTAGAAAGCTGTTAAAAGTCAGGCAAGGCTGTTTTCCTTTCTTACAAAAGAAGCCCAGAGTTGATGAGCTTTGTATTTTTTACTTACTGTAGTCTTACAACTCGGAGACTATTGTTCCTTTGCCAGGGAGGAGACAAGGGGTCTTTATGCTTTATCCCCACCTTCCAGCCTATCAATAACAAGTCTTGACATGCCTGCCTATCCTGGTTGTATCTAAAGGGCTGAAAATGATACCTGGACAAAATAGGCATTTGGTAAATATTTGTTGAATATGTGAAAAGAACATTTGTGAAATAGCGATATAACTGTAATATGTTTACCATTCTGTTTCTTTAAATGAAGTATATATGTGAACGTGTGAACGTGTTAGTCACTCAGTCATGTCTGACTCTTTGTGACCACATGGACTGTAGCCCACCAAGCTCCTCTGTCCGTGGAATTCTCCAGGCAAGAATACTGGAGTGGGTAGCCATTTCCTTCACCAGGGGATCTTCCAGACCCAGGTTACAAACCTGGGTCTCCTGCATTGCAGGCAATTTCTTTACTGTCAGCCACCAGGAAAGCCCAGAAGTATATACAATCTGTTAAAACAGCCATCCACAGCAACTTAATGTATGAGCATCATCTTGAGGAATATGGTACAGTTGTCACTCACAGCAGTGACTTGCTGCTACCCTCCTTCATCCCCTTCTGAAACAAGCAAAAGACAACAGCCACCACAAAAACCTTGAGGCTTTTAATTCTTTCTATATCTGATCAAATGAAATAATAAATGTCAATGCAACAGATTACACCTGAAAAATTACAGTTGGTCCTTACAACTGGATCAGTGGAGTAAACCAGAGAAATTTGAGGGTGAGGATTGCACACAATATTACTGCTACTACAATGCAGTAATATCGTACTTTTAACACTGAAGTCTGTGCTTCAAAACTTTGTGTCATTATAATATTATATAATTGGTGTCAGTTTTAATGAAAAGAACTGCATTGCTATAAATACCCAATCCACAAATAAATCTGTCCTTATAATTAAACTTAAATACTACATGGAGGACAGGTAATATAGTTGATTCCCAAATTTGCTCACTCATTTCAGACCATTAATATGTAAAGTTAGATCAGTCCTGCCAAGAGATATGTTTTTCCCTTCTTGTACATTTTATGCTCATTTGAAATGTCATTTCATCTATTCAACTAAAAAATGTTGTGACTCACTAAACAATTATATTGTCCCTCTTCCTTTTAGCATTACTCATCCTTTTGTAGATTTAAATTTTTATCAATAATAATATTTCCCCCCAACATGCCTTTCTTTTCCAGTTTCAAGACCAACAGAAAAGGGAGACAAAGGTTATGTGCCTTCTGTTTTTATCCCCATCTCAACAATGTAAGTAATCTTAGCCACATATAAGATAATTATTATTGAACTTATCAAAAAAGCTGGAAACTTAAGGGTAAAACAGCACACATATAACTGAGAATAAAGCGTTTTAATGCTTGATGTCCCATTTTCTTTAACTCATAAGTCTTTAGGATACACCACAGTCCGTCTTGAAAGAATTCTAAAGTTGCCCTTTAATATGCCATTTATCCCATAGTGGGCTGAGTACTCTGATTTCAAATGGTGAATTATTTGAAATTCAATAATCTCTGTCACAAATAGAAGAAACCCTAAAAAGAGTTCTTTTGGGGAGGTAGAAATTACCGCCTCAAGTTCTCCTGACTAGACTAATAATAAAATTGATACAAGGTAGATTAATAGGAAAAAGGAAAAAATTTTAATTGATGTTCATAGAATTCTCATAGAAATGGGACTTAAGAAGTGGCCAAAGCAGGCAGCTTTTATACTTTTTGAACACCAAAAAATCAATAACTTTGGGAGGAACTGACAGGACAAAATACTTAGGCTTTGGGTGCTTAAGTAGTAAAGAATCTAAGCAGAGTTTGGGTCTGGGGTATTAAAGAAGCAACAAGGTTCAGGCTTGTACAGGCTTCTCAGCCCCAAGTGAATCCCCAAAAGGATGTTCTTCTACCTCTAGAACTGGGAGGGCACCTCTCACAGAAGAGACTTAGTTCCTGCTTTCAGGGAGGCAGAGATAGGATCTGAGTGTCCCTCCTACTTTGGATCTTTTTAAAGTAACTTAAGTCATTTAATTAAAAATAACCAACATGCCACTGAGGCACATTTTGGGGTGGCTTCCCCTGGGCCCTAACAGTTGCTAACACAGTAAGTCACCACAAGCTGTGATGTTTAATGCTCTTCAATATTTACTCTGTTACCTCTTCAAGCCGAAGTGATTCTACAGAGCCACATTCTCCATCAGACCTCCTTCCCATGTCGCCAAGCGTATATGCAGTGCTGAGAGAAAACCTGAGTCCCACAACAATCGAAACTGCAGTATGTTCCCTTTCTTTCCACTGCTGTCAAAGGCATTTCTCAGGAAGTGAAGGTGGTGTGTGAATTAAAGGGGGGTGAAGATCTGCCTGGGAAGTGAGAAAACACATTCGTTGGAACAAATCCATGAGCATAATGCAATGGATGTCTACATGGTCCTGTGTGTTGCTCTTACGGTGGGCTTTGAAAGCAGACACCTATGCTGACCTGAACTGCTTTAAGGTCTCCCATCAAAAGCTGCCCAAAGGCAAAATATCCCTGTATACCTCCCTACCTAAGTACACTTCATCCCTACTCTCACCATCTGCCCCACCAGACCCCACCAATGTCCCCTCTTTAGCAGATAACACACATCAGTCATTAGATATGTAAGTCTAAGTATAATATTTATGTTAGCAGTTCATGCACCAAAAATGCCAATTTTGCTTGATTGTTACTTGCTTCATTTGTCCTGTCCTGGGAGCTTCTTCAAGTAGTATATGAACAACAATCAATATCAGCATAATAATGCTTTTTTGAGAACTAAATCATAGTATTAAATGCAACTATGTGCTCTAGGATGCAGTCTATTATTGTTCCCCAATATTGTCAACCAGTTCAAAACTTCAGTTACATGAGGATGCATGTACATCACAATAATAGTGTCTTGGGGAGCCCATGAGCCCCAAGAAATTCACATCTGGCTATAAATCAAGTGGTGTTTAGTTTTTCTCTTGAAGATTTCCAGGGATGAAAAACTTACTCTCCAATGTTAGCTGTACTTAAATCATTTTGTTATAAGAGAACTTTTGTTACATTTTACACCCACTTCTTCATTATGTTTTTGTGGGATGAACAGGGCTTCTTAAAATAGTTTTTATTTATTTAAAAAGTGCCTTTTATTTTAAATTGACCAACCTCAGTTACTTTTGCAAGTACTGTAGTTAATTGGTAGAAAGATTATGAAGTAAAGTATGTATTTAGTAGACAAGAGGATGTTTACCTAAGAAATGGTGACTTATTTGCAAAACAATAGTTTGCTCAAAGGTTATTTTCATTTTTCAATTTTAGATGAAGTCTCCCTATTCTGCTGAATGAAAAGATAAACTCTTGACACTCAAAAGAAGGAAGCAAATGAAAAAGTTTTAAAGACTGATCTTTGCCAACAATCACATCTGGTTTCTTCAGCTTTGTATATACCAGGAAATGATTAAATATGAAGCTTTCTTCTCATTCTTATGACACCCCCAAATGGGAATGTCATTGAAATGCTAGAGATCCAAGCTTCTAATAAACTTGTGAGATAAAACACTTTAAGAAACCAGTGTTAATATAATAGTAATGAAAGATTCATTTGTATGTGCTTCATTTCTGGGTTTCTTTCTGTTGTGTTACTTATGATTTTGACTCTAGAAGCTTTGAGTGTAAAGATTGCACAATAGGTGAAAAATAACAAAGTCACATACACATTACTCAAAAACCAGCAGGAAGGCTTGATGGAAACTGAATAAGCGAATGTCTTGAGTTCTAGCAAATGAGTCATCACACTGGATACAAGACGGAAGCAACGACAGGGCATTAACAGCAGCAATTCCCAGGTGAATTAGGAAGCCTCTTGGTTGCCATGTCAGCACTGTTCCAGCTTCAGGATTCACAGCTGCTGGCATCACTGCAAGGGACACCTCTTCTGTTAGGGGGAGGGATCCAGAGTCATTCCTGGTGGCAAATCTCAGACAAATTACACCGAAAGCAGATGCATGGGTAAAACTCCCATGAAATGAAAACCAAGAGGAAAATAAAAACACTGGCCTTGGTTGAGTGATTTGATCGCTGGGTTGTATGTTCTTCACCTCTAGAAGAGGTTGGACTAAGGTAGGCTATGGTCCTTTCCAGCTCTAATAGTCTCTGGTCTCATGAATCCAACTTGAACCTGGAGGAAGGAATTTAGGATGAGATGCTCCATCCCTGGTGATGCAGGAGGGGAGTGGCTGACTGAATTGTATGTATGTGGGCTATAAACTTACTCTCCAATGTTAGCTGTACTTAAATCATTTTGTTATAAGAGAACTTTTGTTACATTTTACACCCACTTCTTCATTATGTTTTTGTGGGATGAATAGGGCTTCTTAAAATAGTTTTTATTTATTTAAAAGGTGCCTTTTATTTTAAATTGACCAACCTCAGTTACTTTTGCAAGTACTGTAGTTAATTGGTAGAAAGATTATGAAGTAAAGTATGTATTTAGTAGACAAGAGGATGTTTACCTAAGAAATGGTGACTTATTTGCAAAACAATAGTTTGCTCAAAGGTTATTTTCATTTTTCAATTTTAGATGAAGTCTCCCTATTCTGCTGAATGAAAAGATAAACTCTTGACACTCAAAAGAAGGAAGCAAATGAAAAAGTTTTAAAGACTGATCTTTGCCAACAATCACATCTGGTTTCTTCAGCTTTGTATATACCAGGAAATGATTAAATATGAAGCTTTCTTCTCATTCTTATGACACCCCCAAATGGGAATGTCATTGAAATGCTAGAGATCCAAGCTTCTAATAAACTTGTGAGATAAAACACTTTAAGAAACCAGTGTTAATATAATAGTAATGAAAGATTCATTTGTATGTGCTTCATTTCTGGGTTTGTTTCTGTTGTGTTACTTATGATTTTGACTCTAGAAGCTTTGAGTGTAAAGATTGCACAATAGGTGAAAAATAACAAAGTCACATACACATTACTCGAAAACCAGCAGGAAGGCTTGATGGAAACTGAATAAGCGAATGTCTTGAGTTCTAGCAAATGAGTCATCACACTGGATACAAGACGGAAGCAATGACAGGGCATTAACAGCAGCAATTCCCAGGTGAATTAGGACGCCTCTTGGTTGCCATGTCAGCACTGTTCCAGCTTCAGGATTCACAGCTGCTGGCATCACTGCAAGGGACACCTCTTCTGTTAGGGGGAGGGATCCAGAGTCATTCCTGGTGGCAAATCTCAGACAAATTACACCGAAAGCAGATGCATGGGTAAAACTCCCATGAAATGAAAACCAAGAGGAAAATAAAAACACTGGCCTTGGTTGAGTGATTTGATCGCTGGGTTGTATGTTCTTCACCTCTAGAAGAGGTTGGACTAAGGTAGGCTATGGTCCTTTCCAGCTCTAATAGTCTCTGGTCTCATGAATCCAACTTGAACCTGGAGGAAGGAATTTAGGATGAGATGCTCCATCCCTGGTGATGCAGGAGGGGAGTGGCTGACTGAATTGTATGTATGTGGGCTATAGGTCTACTTTGATCTTTCCCCTTGCCAGGACTGGATGCTTAGTGGTGCCACCGCCCAGCTGCTGACCCTAGTAATAGTGTGGCCCTCCCAGTGCCTGAGCCCTGGGGAGCTCTCCATGTCTCCAGGCTCCAGAGAAGCTGCTGAGTCAGGTGAGGAAGTCATGATACTGAGGTATCGGCCATGACCGGCCACATAAAGTCCTGAGGCTGGTGTCCAAAGTGAGCCCTGACTGCAGTCAGAGATGACAGTTCCTTGGGGGGGGACTTCTCTCTAAGTTCTTTCACCCATTTCCCACCTTCTAGGTGGTCAAACAAGAGGAAGCTAATGTTTGATGGAGAAGACTTCAAAGAAAAAAAGCTTTTAATATAACCTGCCTTCTCCCTTGGACTTCTCCAATGTCTCAGTAGGTAAAGAATCCACCTGGAATGCAGGAGATGTGGGTTTGATCTCTGGGTAAGGAAGATCCCCTGGAGATGGAAATGATGACCCACTCCAGAATTCTTGCCTGAAAAATCCACAGAAGAGGAACCGGGCAGGCTCCAGTCCAAAGAGTCGCAAAGAGTTGGATACAACTGAGCTCCATCCTATCTCTGATCCTTTCTACCCACCCACATGATCCTAGATTACTCTGTAGGAGAAACTTTGCACCTGTCCCAAGGCCGCCACTCTTACTCTTTTGCAAGCTCTTGACAGTATTCTTTGGGTGAAGGTGTCAGTTTGATGTAGGATCACAGGCTAATTCAAGGTGCATTTTCCAGTCTCTACTTCTCTCCACAAGCCCAGTTTTCTGAAATTCAAATATATTAATTGGCAGCAGAAGTGGAGGAAATAATTTTAAACTTGGTTTGAAATTAGTATATATTTTGATATTTAGAACTATAAATGAAAGCAAAAGTGTTAGTCACTCAGTCATATCTGACTTTTTGTGACCCCATGAACTTCAGCCTGCCAGGATCCTCTGTCCGTGGGATTTTCCAGGCAAGAATACTCAGATCTCCTGCACTGTAGGGAGATTCTTTACTGTCTAAGCCACCAGGAATGCCCTTAGAACTATAAAATGACCATTATAGCTTTATCTTTAAGGAGGTAATTCCTTACCAGGAAATACTCATAAACAGTTGGATTTAGATATCAAAAAATGCTGTAGGAGTTTTTTATTCCCTAGAAAATATTAAAAATATGATGACTCTTACTTATTTCAGAAGAAATTTTGAAAAGCTTGTAAATATAGAGGCTGGCAGAAGAATGTCAAGATTTCATATGTGGTCACAGACACCTTAGTCGATGTACAAGGACATGTATAGTTTGTTTCCCATAACAGAGGCAGAGGTCTAAGTAAGAATGAGTCCAATAAGTGGCTGTTTTTTATTTAGATTCAGAAAATCAAAATCAAGTTCTTGACCCCAGGGTAAAGAGTTATTTCCAAGGGTGTGAGTCTCACATTCAAAAAACCATCTTTGTGGGAGTAATAAGGTTCTGTTAGGGAATTCCTAGGGATACCTATTTAGATCAGGATAAGGTATGCTGCATGGGATGGAAATGCAATGGGAAGGGAATCTAGACCACATTTACACAATATTTTTTTTTCTGCCGCCTAGTAGCAAATAGCAGGATTTAATGAAGCAAAATGTAAATTTATTTTCAAAATATTAATCACATTTTCACTTCTCCCCTCAATCATCCAAGACCAATCACAGATGTCCATTTTCCTAATTCCTTTGCAAACTCCTTATAATGTAAACACACTTTGACCAGTTGTACTGAATAGCAATGTCTTTATCTGGAATAAATGGTGAAAGAAGGCAGCTGCCAGTAGATTTCCTCAAGTCGTAAGGTAGTCAGGAAGGCTCCCCAAGGAACCATCAAGAAGGAGCCACATCTGACAAAGCTGAGGGGGTTTTCTGTCCCTCAGATGGTGCAGGAGGCCCACGCACTCCCTACAGTAGCAGGATCAGAATTAGGAGTTCCAGCAGCAGACAATCATTGTCCAGACTGAGCAAACTGCCCTCCCTGTGCACAGACTCCAATTTCCGTCAGATTCTTTTTACTTTTTTCAAATGAACTGTAAACACTGATTGATTTGACTGACTGCAGTTCTAAAAGTTTGGCATATTGAAGCACAATTTACACACAATAAAATTCACCTTTTTCCAACAAACCCATACAGTTGCATGTGTATGGATCTGTAAGACCTAGAACATTTTTCCACCAGAGTCCTCACAAAGAGGACTTCAAAAGCATCAGGAAATTGCATTCATCCAGACCCACTGCTAGCTTTTACAACAATATCCTTAGAGTAAATACAACAATGAATTCCGGGTGGCCTCCTACGTAGACAGAGGGCTTTACTTAAAATAAATCAGATCATTTGGCTTCCTGCTTAAGATCTTCAAAGGGCTCATGGCACTGTGCATTGACAGTTTGTAACTTAGGTGTAAAGATAGAATTCTGGAGTTTGAATGGCAAAGTGAGAACTATATTTTCAGAAACTTCTAACTGAAACTTAGCGTTTCCTTCAATTGGGAATAAAGGCAACAAGCCATAAACCACATTTTTGTCACACGACAGTTGTTACACTTATCTCAAAATATTGCTTATGCGAAGCATAATTTTGAAATTGCATCCATCCAGACCTACTGCTAGATCTTACTCGATGCCATTAATAAAGAAGCATTTATATTACTTATCACAAAGCTGGTATTAATATTTTGATCTCTGTTTCATTGTAGTTGGTTTCCTGTTTAATCTTACGTGTTTTGTTTTATTAAACAAAAAACATTAATCTTTGAAAGAGTTCAAAGGTTTCATTAGACTGCCAAAAGGGACCCACAGCACAAAAAATTAGTTAAGAATCCCAGCTCTGGATGAAGACTCTAATTCTCAACGGATCTTTCCAAAGTCATATATCCTCTAGTCTGTTCTTAGTCTTCAACTCATTTCTCAACATTTCTCCCCAACAATAGCTTCTAATCCTCCAAAATATACACAAGACTGAACTACTTTTAGTTTCTTTAGCCAGCAACAAAAAGATAGGCTAGCCAGCAAAGAAGTTGGGAGGGAGGGCATTGGC